AGAAGATGCTGGTGTGTATGAATGTGTAGCAGCCAATCCACTCGGAACAGCAACGTCAACAGTAGAAGTAATGGTGCCAGGTATGATACTTGTTTGTAGAATTCAACCAACTCTGTCAAGCTCAAACGTTTCTTGAGTGTCTGGTTATGAAATGTGACTTTGATAAATGATTTTCTCTGGTAATTTCGTGTTTGTTTCCTGATTGTAGCAGATTTATTCATGACTTTGGTTCAGGTGTCCTTCTTTGTTGAGCTTGGTAATCATGAGAAATTAATTCAGTGCTTCTTTATTGACGCGACTGGAATAATGAAGATGATTGTGAGTGACTTTAACAAAACCTGAAGATGTAAGAAATTGTTATTGGTGGAAGAAGTTTACTAGATTTCAAAACTCACTGAAGTGAGATGTTCAGTTGTGCAAAAACATTCAAGATTGTACGAAGAATGGAATAAAAGAGATATTTATTGTGCAATTTTTTTTTCTTTCAGGATATGAAAAGCCGCCAGAGTTTGTTGCCGAGATGATGCATGGTGAGCCACTCATTGTCGGTCGACCCTACAGCATCGAGTGCCAAGTCTCAGCAAAACCAACACCCACCATCACGTGGTACAAAGATGGCAAACCTATCGAAAATGAGCCGCGGTTCCGCACATCATTCGACAAGGATATTGCTGTCTTGGATATTGAAGATGCTCGGCCAGAAGATGCAGGGATTTATGAATGCGTAGCGACCAATGCAATGGGTACATCAAAGACAACCGTTGAAGTGAATGTGCCTGGTAAGTCAAAAGAACTCTGGTTCTGTTTCCCGGAAAGAAATCAAACAGCACCCATTTAACAGTTAGTGTGAGACAAAGGGACTTAAAATTTGGTGATTGCGAGAATATTGCTAACAGATATTGGAGTTGCCTGTTAATTTACTCAGCGATATGCCTTTCTACAGTACCTTCCGCCCAATGGCTATCAAGCTTGCAATTTATGCCCTTGTTGGTCAAATTCATTTCCAGGCTCTGCTTCCCCCAAGCCACCTGAGTTCACCTCCAAGTTGCAGGTGGCCGCACCTGTCACTGTTGGCCAGCCCCTGCACCTGGAGTGCCAGGTTCAAGCCCGGCCGGAGCCCACCGTCACCTGGTACAAAGACGGCAAGCCCGTCAAGGGCAAGCCCTATTACACGACCAGCTTTGTCAGGGATGTGGCCAGTCTGGATATTGAAAGTGTCGTGCCAGAAGATTCCGGTATCTACAAGTGCGTAGCTAAGAATCTAATGGGCACAGTGAGCACGACAGTTGAAGTAATAGTCAAAGGTAATTTATATTAATTCCTTCTTGAAATCACTCTTGTAAATCCTTGTAAACCCCAAACTTAAAAATTGAGTTTTTTAACGACATAGGCTGTGTCCGAATCTCTTGGGTATAGCTGGAAATAATACATGAGTTTTTGGATGTGGCTCAGGCTAGTTCCCAATACGTCGTGTGTAACATCCGGCTGTAGCCAAGTGATTTGGACATGGTCTGATTTTGTTATTCAGTGGGAACTCATGCTATTTTGAATACATGTCATGTGCCTTAATTGGAGCAAAGATCAAGAAGTTTCAAACAAGACAACATTGCGTATTGAGCACCATCGTCAATTTCCTGGCGTGTTAAAATTTTGTTACAATTTCAAGTTCCTTGAACTAGCGACCTTTTAGGGAGCCAACACCTGTTAAAAACAACATCTCACATTCGAAATGCTACTGAAACATTGCATGCTTATTCTCATTTCTTACCTCTGGTAATTCCTTCTCAATTCATTTTGTATAGGCTTGCCCAAGAAGGTGGGAATCCCACCCAAGTTTACCTCCAGACTTCCATCGCATACAGTGGTTGCCACAGAGGGGCAGCCCACAGAGCTCCAATGCACCATTGTCTCTGAACGTCCACCGACTGTCGCGTGGTACAAGGATGAAAGAACCCTCACCAACTACCCGCCTTACGAGATCTCCTTTGAGAAGGGTGTGGCTGCTCTGAGAATCGCCAAGACAGAAATGGAACATGCTGGCACTTACAAGTGTGTGGCCTCCAACAAGGCAGGGATTGTGACCTCCACGGCAGAAGTCATGGTCAGAGGTCAGAGGACTAGCCTTTTCTCATTTGTTTTTCCAATATTGTATTTTTTTCTGCTCATTGTGTGAAGACTTTCAACACAGGACCACAGGTGTTTAGATATTGTCCTGGTAGTTAAAGCTCCTTCAACCTAATACTGTTGTTCGGGCATTTTGTAGTATTATCCTTGTGCTGAAGTTTACTGCCTGTTCTTGCATTATACCCAGTCTCCTTTCTTAATTTAGAATAGCACTCTGACACACTCCGAGAAAGCAAATTGTTTCATATGCAAACAAGTGACCCCTGCTTCTCACCTGACACTGCCTACCCCAATCTGTTTTGAATTTTTGTCCTAAACTCCATCTGCTTAACCACTTCATGCCGGGGCATTTTTCAACGTTGATGATGCTGGGCCGGCATGACTATCATTTTTTCCATTTTCAAAATCCTTCAAAAATTCATCATTTCATTTAATGGTCGTTTATAGCCACACAAAGTAATCTTTAGGCACTACTCTAAGTTGACAGGTGACCTTTATTGACGCCCGAGTATTTCAGCCAGGCCTGCAGCCTTGTAAACAAAGCCCAGATTGTGCGGTGTTATACAACTGTCTTGTGTTCACGAACCTGGCTCAGTGCACTGCTGACCTCTTTTCAATAGGGGCCAGATTAGTGTGCAGCGGTGCTGTGTGGCTCATCGCTGTGGTGGTGGAGCGCTTTTTTCCCCGGTGGTAATCCGCTTGCTCTCAATGCCCCAAACCCTGGTATACGGTTTCAAAATAACGCTGGATTATCACCACTTTTGAGATCGAAAAATGCCGGTAATGCCCAGCAGCCTGGTCTTTTGTTCGGAGTACGGTCTTTTGTTACAGGGCCCTGTTTCCTTTGTCCGAGTTCGGAGACCCCAGCCACGCATATAAACCATACAGCTCCGATTTCGGAGTCCCCGGCTGGTAGTGGTTAAAGTGGAAACAAGAGAGCGTGTGATGTTTCATGGAAAGGACAGTCTGCTGGTGGGAACTCAGCAGATGAATGTGCATGTGTTTTTTGTTAAAATGTATATTTTTTGTGTGTGCTTCAGGCTCATGCACTAGCCTGTCTCTTCTGTGCCACTGCGGACGGACTTCAATGCCGGGGTGGATTGCATTGATCTCGTGTTGTAGTACGTTGCAGTATGTGTGTTTCGGTAGGCTACGGTTGGGAGATGCAAGATTGTTAATGCAGTTATTTTGTGTTTCTTTGTCAGCCCCAGAGGTTCTGTCCACTGATGAGGAGATGGACACTTCCCAGGGGCCAACCTTCATCAACATGTCCACTCAGGAATCAGTGACGGTCACTCCAGGCCAGGAGCTGCGACTGACCATCCGCATCCAGGGCCTGCCGCCGCCACATGTCACGTGGTACCGAAATGACACTCAAGTCATTGAAACCGAAACAGTCGAGGTAAGCATGCAATCACTGTCATCGTGTCAGTGTTTATTGTTGCTTTAATCCCAGCTTTCTTAGAATAATTGAAAGGTTTTTCTCTAAACTGAAATTTCCCTCACAATAATACGCAATATATTAAAGATTAAATTATATACATTCTCACATCTTTGTAAATCATCCTAGTAACTTTTTCAAAGCTGACGCCCTTTGTATTCTTGTGAGAGATGTTTAAATTCCTTATGTTTATGTCTGAAATGTGTGTCTGTTGGAAATATCTCTTTTCCCTTTGGGGACCAGCTCATGTTCCTGATTAAAAGGTGCACTTTTACCTCAGTAACATTCTAAGCAGTCTGGATGTTTTAAGATGCTCCCTTCACTTCATTAACTTGCCCTCTAAGTGACTCGTCATGACCTACCCCTCTGCAATCTGTCAAAACTCTGCAATATCATCTGCACTGTAGACATCATATGCCAACTACTTCATGCTTACTCATTGTAGTACAAATGGTTAATTTTTTACTGTTGGAAAGAAACTGTTCAATCTTAATTCGAGCCTCTGCTGTTGTTTGCTGACAGATTTGCAGGTGTAACATCGTTTACGCTGGCCCCCCCACAATGTTTCATTGTTTTATAATTTGAACTCTGAATTTATCCTTACTTTTGCATCAAACACTGTGCTCTGTCAGAGCAGAGGGTGAGGAAGGTGAACCAGCTTCCACTTTATTGTCTGTTTCTGTTGATGCAATTGCGTTAAACGTATACAAGTATCTTTGGCGTCGTCTGTCCGATTTGATGCATTGTTGCGGATGCTTTATTTCATTTCAGTGTGTGAAGTACACTGAGACTCGATCCAAAACTGTGAAGGAGGTGCGTAGAAGAACGGCCTGATTTATTCTCGCCCAATGCCCACTAGTACCTCACCCTTGCCATTAACAACACTGATCTCCAATATTTACTCTTCCCTTCTCTGTGGCCCAAATTCTACAAAACTAGTTCAGACTCTAAAGGAATGTGGAGAACAATCCAGTCACTCCAAAAAGAAATCAAAACAAGGAAACTAGGTTTTTTTCCAACTCATAAGAGAATAAGACTCTGGTCTTGTCAAAAGCTTGTAAACAGTTCCCCCATTGTTTTGAAATGTCAGACTTTTTGGACCATAAATAATCCTCCATAAAAGATTTGTTAAATGAACTGATTTGATAATATTTGAAAATATGCAAAAGGAAAGTATGGACTGGAAAAGAAATCTTCAGGTTCAAATAACCCACTCTTACTTCCTGAACTTAAATAACCTCCAATCTTCAACTCTCTGCCTCTAATGATAAACACAAGTAGTGTCGCCTCCTATCCAACAATTAATTTTTATTTTTCCCCTTGTAGAACAATATTTAATCCCTTTCTCCTTCCAGGAATTTTCTGTTCTGACAAGCCAGATGCATTAGTTAACACCTTCACCCATGCTTACCAAACATGGCACAGAAATACATTCCAGTCCAGGGTATAGAGTTGAACGTGTGAAGGAAGATGTCAGTCTGCACTTACCAAAGACAAACACCATCATTTTATAACCCATTTCCTTGGTGACTCCTCTCTGGAATACTTGTAAGCACAAAGTTGCACCCCCTGTAAACTGTGCACGTTCACATTTGGTAAAGTAGAGTGAGTTGATGACAGAAAAGTAAATGTATGCATAATCCCACAAGAAGTAGTAGTATAGAGTGGCATAGCTTGATAGTTCCAGCTTTTCCGTTTTATGAGGGTGGAAAAATCATTGGTAAGATTTTGCTAAGTTGCAATAAAAGACAGCAGAGTCAATCTTTCCGGTGAGAAAATGTACATTTAGTATGGATTGAGACAGTTCACTAGGATTTGTTTATCGCTGGGAAAAAGTTGCAATATGTATCCTTCCCATAGCGTCAGAGAGCAAAGATCGCCAAAGCAGAGCTAACTTTAACAGCTGAACTTTCTTTTTGCAATTTTTTCTTCACTCATGCCTTGATTAAAGTGTGAATATACTCTCTTTAAAAAAAAAGAGTTAAGCCAAACTTTGTGTTGAATCTTGTCCTAACTCTTCAAACAAACCAATTAGGGAATTTGTCTGAAATTCTCAACTGTAATCTGTGTGAGCATAAGGCAGTTAATTGTCATCGGCAATGCTCTTCTATTGCAGCTGTCTAATTTTTTCCCAAGGAATCTGTTCTCCAAAGGAAATTAACACCCATTGCCTGCCAATTTAGTTTAGCTTAAGTTAGACATTTGTGAATTCAGTGCTGTCATCGATAACCGGAAATATTCTATATTTACTTCAAGATCTGCTCAAACAACAAGTGTACAAATACTCATCCATCCTCAACCTACATGTAATACAGTTGACTCTCATTGTTACGAAATCAGCTGTAACAAAATTCTGGTTATTACAAACACACATCTCTGGTCCTGGTGAAAATATGCACATTTCTATGGGGAAAAAATCTGTTATAGTGAAATTGTACTTTACGAATTTCCTGTTACAGCAAAAGGTTTTTGTGACTGTTGCCTGAAAAACTATTGTTGACGACCAATTTATGAAGAGCGTTTACGAATCGCAGTTTTGAAAACATGTGTGCAGAGCACCACACTGGTTCCTGCTGGGCCGAACCGTTGCCCAAAAAGGCATGATGGAAATGTGGCTACCAGTGAATGGGACGATTCCAGTCAAAAAAGCGTCGCAAGCAGGTGCATTGACAAAAATTTATCTCATGTCTATGTTTGTATTTGAGGTTGTACTGCACGTACTTCAAGCGTGCGTGTTTTCCACAGAATTTCCAGCTGCAGCACTTAAGGCTTATTGCCTGCCCCTCCATATGCATCACACACACTTACAACGCGATATACAGACTTTAGTTTCCTGTCGTCATGACAAGCTTAGTGCACAATTAAAAAATCCATGATTTTTTACACTGATTACAGAAACGGCAAAACAAAAAATCCCTTCCCGATTCCGATAAAAATATGCTCCAAATAAGTTCGCTTGACTATTACCGCTTATCAGGAGCCCAACTAATCACCCACCTCTGAATTATGCGTATTGCTGTTAAAAGATCTAGTGGCCTGCCAATGAGATTGTGTGCTTACATGACATACATTTTGCAGGACATAGCTATCCAATCATAATATTTCCTCAGGACATCATGCTTCTTGAGCGACTGTCTTGTGCGTAGGCAGCCACGCCACGGTGGGCGAGTGAACTCAGACTACCGATCAATCATGGTCATGCAGCCAGTGTAAATAAAAATATCTCTCCATGACACAATTTGTGTTGGAAAGACTACTTACATGGATGGGGGCTCCAGTTGATGAGTCTTCACTTTCTTGCAGGTACACACAAGCTTACATGTGAATGCCATTAAGTTAGGCTTCATCCATGGTGATTGAAAGTTTAAAAAAATCCCTGGATCGATGCTTTCACATGTATTTGCTTTTTATCTCACATGCACATTAAACATGTTGTCATATGACAGTGAAGTTTATTATTCTAAACACATCACAATATATTTGATTAATCATAACCGAGACATCTTTTTGACGTCATTTAACATCAACCTCGTTCACATGTATACATGTACAGTACATGTAAATGCACATTGTATCGTACACAAAAGGACCTTTTCATACAATGCACTGAAGCCATTGCACTGCGTTCCGCCTACAACAAATTTCGGATACAATGAACATTTCCTCTTGGTCCCGCAGAGTTTGTAATGACGAGAGTCGGCTGTATACTTTTTCTGGCTCAGAATGTTAGAAGAGCGTACAGTTTCTTTTGCTGCCTTTCAACTTTCAATCTTGTTCCAGCTAAACTGGGTTGCACAACAACTGCTGCATTATGAAACTTGGAGTGCATAATTCATCACTAGTTCCCCCCCCTCCCACATCAACAAAGTATTCCCTGAGTGCCCCCCATCTGAACTACACCAATCATGCACTGGCCCCCTCTATTCCCCATGTATCAGGATGTGACCTATTCAGAATATTAAAATGGTAATTTAGCACCAAGGTTTCTTTAGCTTCCCTGATATGGAGGGTGCTTACCCGCTCAAATAGAGTGACAACCGCCCCCCAAAACTTTGTCTCAGTTACATGTAAATATCACCTGTTGAAGTTGTGTCAAGTAACGAATGAAAGATTCTGTCATTTTTAAGCCACATGGAATTTGTTGGACTCACTTTGTTGGTGGTTTTTCACAGGTGAAGAGACACAAGGAGATTTGCTCTCTAGTGATCAAGAATGCACAACCTGAGGATTCAGGCACCTACAAGGTTGTTGCAGAAAATGCAGCTGGTGTGGAGTCTAATGCTGTCCACATCAATGTGGCCGAGCAACCACTTTCTAAGTAAGAATTATTCAGCACATTTTTTTTAAAGCTTGTGCATGGCAGTTAAAAGTATGCTGCAGTCAAACCGAACCAAAAATCATTGCACTTTCGAACCGAACCGAACCAAACTGGTTGGTTCGGATGTTCGGTTTTAATATGGCGTGGCATTACTAGCCCATTATTGCTGAAAGCATGCAAGAAAACTAGATAAAAAAGCAAACACAACGAAGAATGGATAACGAGTTATGCTGCACCAGCGCTAGCACTCAGCACATGTTCATCAAGAAGTACATGTATGTACACACGTACTGTAAATGTGTAACACTGTGCATGTACAGTAAACTTACGGTGGCTCCACATCACGCGATGGTTGTAAAAAGCATGTGGTGAGAATTCACCAATAATCAACCAAGAACATGCAACGTATTGCGTTTCTGCAATTTCTGTGTTTTTTTTCTGTTTTCACACATCGTACAATCGTTTTGTTGAGTCAAGCGTGATCCAAACACAACTGCTTTTGGTCGGCAAACCACGGTCAGAAACTCACATCTCCGACGGTCACTTTCTAGGGAATTTTAACTCCTAAACAAACTTTGGGAAAACAGTTCGGAAAAAAAATTATGTTCCCATTGAAGTTACTCATGGATGGGATGGAGAGGAGATTTATTGCTTGTATTAACATATACACGGGATATACGGCACGTTCATAGCGAGCTCTTCAATGTGCATAGTATATGTTCATGTGTGTACATGTCCGAACCTGAACTGAAGTTAAGAAAAAATTTCTGAACCTTGTCCAAACCGAACCTTGGCACCTACTTGCAGCACTAGTTAAAAGACAAAATTTCATGAATTTTCTTTGTGAGGTTTTCACTTGATAGCTGTTACAAACACTGTGTGTCTTGTCCTTTAGGAAATTACATATACATATTATACATATTCTAATTGTTGTTGTTTGTTTGGGGGGGGGCTACAATTTATGTGCAGTTTTCTGTGTCAAAACGGCTAAAATCAAAAAGTAGGGCCAACATAAGAAAATTCTTTCAATAGTTTTTACTGTTAGATTCATCAGATTGGGGAATTTTTCTTGTATATTTTGTACATAACAGTCAAAATCTGTTAGTTAAACCCCGACAGGTTTCATTGTTTGACCATGCTTTCCTTGTTTTCCTAGTGTGTCTGTGATCCACCTGGAGTCCAGACCTCAAGTCTCTGGTCAACCCATCTTTGTGGAGACACTCGAGAAGAAGACAGAAGTCGTTGAGAGTGCTCGGGTGCGACTTGAAGTGGTAATCGTTGGGAATCCACCACCAAAGGTAAGCAGTGCTCCTCAAATATGTCTGCATTGTGAAGAAATCTAACAGGCATTACATTTTACTTAAGTACCAGGGTTTAACCACTCCCTGCCGGGTGACCCATTTTCGAGTATGTAGGCTTTATATACCGAGTTGAGGTTCTCCACCACCACAGCGATGAGCGACACATCACCGCTGCATGCTAATCTGGCCCCTATTGAAAAGAGGTCAGCAGTGCACTGTGCCGGTTTCGGGAAAAAAAATCTTACGTAACACCGCACAATCTGGGCTCTTTTTCCAAGGCTGCAGGCCTAGCTGAAATAATCACGAGTCAATGAAGGTTACCTGTCAGCTTTAGAGTAGCGCCCAAAGATTCCTTCATTTTGGTATAAACGGCCATTAAATGAAATGATGAATTTTTGAAGAATTTTGAAAACGGAAAATCTTGAGAATGAGCCGGCATCTTGTCTTGCTCAAGAAAAATCCACCCGGCAGCAAGTGGTTTAGAGAAACATTTCAAACTGATTTGAAATTGGTAAATTCTTGTTGAATAACGGGAACACTTTTCTGTGTTGAATGAAGTATTCCTTGAAAGTTAGTGATGGAATCCTCAAAATCAAATGTCGTAGTTGTGAAGTTTGGTTATGTGTTTGTGTCATGCTTCAGGTGACCTGGTACTTCAAAGATCGTCCAATCCGTGAGTCCGACGATGAATACGAGTTCCATCAGCTCGGTAACAAGTACACCTTGATTGTCAAGAAACCGTCAGCCTCAGATGCTGGCACTTACTACTGTGAAGCTGAGAACACACACGGAGCTGTCAGGTCGGAGTGCCATCTTACCATCAAAGGTAATTGAAAACAGTGCATAATTGATGTCTGGTAGTGACCCAAAATGCGCAGTTGTCAACTTGGGTGATTTTGTTGAGTGAGTTCCTTGCCAACTGCAACTTGTCTTTCATCTAAATCAAGGTTGCTCATCTAAGTCAACTTTGTCGGAAATATAGGACAGAGAAATAGGAAATGGAAAATGGCATGGTAAAAACAAAAAAATGGTTATATTAGACAATTAATGTTTGATTAGTTGAGTATAATTGGTTTGAGAATTGATTGGTTTGTGTGGGTTCAATTTGTATGGTTTGTTCAATTTGCAGAGAAAATTCCACCTGATTTTGAGCAGCCACTGGAGAGTATCGCAGCTACCGAGGGAGAAGTGATAACATTTGAAGGGAAAATTAAAGGCACTCCCAAACCTGAGGTAGGAATAAAGTCTCAAGGTTTATTGCTTGATCTGTCAGAATGAAGTTGTGATTAATATTGGAATATCTTACAGGTTAAAATATGAAGAAGACAAAGACTATAAACGTTAACTGGTATTGTAAGCAATAAGCATAAGAGTAAATCCTATTAAAAAGTGACTTCAAAAACTATTCCAGATGAATAACTTAAGTTTTCCTGAAATTGCCTTTTACTTAGTCTCTTCAACATTTAATGAAGATCTGCCAGCAATCTGATGTCATTTATAGATCTTAACTCTTGTAAACTCACCCACACATGCAAGGTTACAGCATCTTACCTTTCAAATTATCATAGATAAAATGGTTCAAAGATGACAAGCCTGTTTTCGAGACGTCCCGAGTGAGGTTCGTCAAAGAAGGAGACAAAATCGGTCTGTTGATTATCAATGTCAGGCCTGGCGATGCCGGAAACTACAAAGTGACTCTAACAAACATGTTTGGGCAATCTACGTCATCTGCTATCCTCAGTGTTGATGGTGAGTTAGAATTTTTGCTTGAAATTAAGTCTTACATCTTTGCCTGTATATAGGATTAGAATGGCAGCGACTTGAAAGAGATTAGCCAGTTGACCAATCAAAAGCACTGATACAAAACAAAATGCAAAAGTGAGAAACATGCAGCAGGACTTAGTAATGATAAACCAGAAGATCTGACTTTACAACAAAGCCTTCAATAAAGCCTTCCCCACAAATATAATAAAAAAATAAAGCAAACAAAAACAACACAACAAATTGTGCTTTTTATTGAAATTACCTCTTGATGAAGTTTGAAGAAGCTTAAAGGTTAAAAGATGTTCATGTCTTGTGAAGTAGTAAGAAAGTTAGTAAGCACCTTCATCCTTTGGCTTGACTCTCTTCCAGTTCCTAAGACACCTCCAGACTTTGCAGAGCCATTGGTGGACCAGACAGCTGTGCAAGGAGAAAGAGTGGAGTTCCATTGTCAGATCACAGGCGATCCGCAACCATTAGTGGTCTGGTTCAAGAATGGTGCCGAGATAGAACCCAGCAGATTTGTTCAGGTCGGTTGGTTACTCTCTATTGTTGTGTTTGCTTTTAAGTTTATTTTTTTGTGCATATAAATGTTTGCAAAAACATTAGGTATTCATTGACGTGGTGAACAAGTATTGTTGTAACAACATGCATCTGCTTTATACAACCAGGAGAGTTTTTGTTATTGGCTGGATCAACTATATTGTGTTTTCTGTTGAGGAAATAATAAAATTTCCAGTGTTGTAGTGGTGATTTGGAGGAAATAATCTCAAATTTCCATCGTAAGTCCTTTCAAAAGACCAGTCATAAGTAACAGGTTGAACAACGACATAGTTGTACTTTTGTCACAGTTCAAATTGTGACTTGATTTAAGACTGGAGGACTTGAGATGGACGAACAGAGATTTTTGATGGGCTCAACTAAAACATTTTAACTTTGAAGTTATGTGTTGCATCAAACCAGCTTCTTTTGGTACAGACTGAAAAAGAAAGGGTGCTTATGGGATTTTTGAGCTTTGAAGCTTTTCGTGGTGAAGGGTAGCAAGTTAGTTTTAGAGAGGTTTGGGTAGCACCTTGCAAGGGTATCTCTTCTGAGTATGTGTGGTTCAGAAAAGAACTGGAGATTTTGTTGACCGATCACAGATTGTGTTCTTCCGTGACCAATCACAGATAACATCTCAAGGGTTGAGCCAAGTACTCATCATCCCAGAGGTGGTGCTGGAGGATGCTGGGACATACAGCGTCAAAGGCAGCAACGACGCGGGAGACTGCACCTCGGTGGCACAGCTGCACGTTGGAAGTAAGAATAGAAAACCTACAATAATATTGAATTCAAAATAATACACTTAATTATGGTGTACATATTGTTAGCGTAGGTGCAACCACATTACGTTTAGTACCTGTTGTTCAAAATCATCACATCCTTCATTCAAAAACTGAAATGTAACATGGATGAGCTCAGGTATTTGTTTGGGGTTATGTTAGGTGGTTATGTTTAGATGAAAGACCATTTACAGCCATTAAGTAATAATGACAGGGAGTAGCAGGATTAGATTTCTGATGGAAATATTCCTCATTTTTATGCCCTATGGAGAAATTTACATCATCATCACCCTTTCATATTAATGGTTATTGGTTTATTGATTTAGGAGAAGTGTTAATCGTTGTTTTCATGTCATTAATTATTTTCTCCCAATGCATTTTCCCCAGTTATTGAAATGGAGAACAAGGCCATCGTAAAATATTTCCTTATTTCACCTGATTTTTTCTCAACCTCAGTTGAAGGCTTAAGCAGCAAAGCCCCACGCTTTGTCCGCGCATTCGGTGACCGCAGCACTTATGAGGGCGATGTAGTCCGCTTTGACTGCTACGTCCGAGGCGACCCCAAGCCAGAGGTCAACTGGTATAAGGACGGCGTACTAGTCAACGAGGGGGTGTTCCAGGTCTTGGAGGAAGGTGACAAGCACTCGCTCATCATTGGAGAAGTCTTTGATGAAGATGCCGGCACGTACAAATGCCAGGCCAAGAATAAGTACGGAGAGACAACTTGCTCTGCTGTCCTGACGATAGGAGGTGAGTTATTCTTTTGATCTTTGAATGTTACTCTACACCAGCACTAAATGTATGACTTTGGACAGTATCTTTTGTTGTCTGCTTGGAGGATGGAAATTGTAAAAATACCTGTAGCTGAAAACTGGTTGGAAAAAAAGTCCTAGAAAATTGACATGAAAACAGAAATCCACAGGAATGTAGCATGTTATAGTGGTGTAATTGCTGAATTTCTCACTTCATTCAGCGTGAGTTTGTCACAGTGTAGGGGCACCTTGAGAGTCAGATCTTGGGCTAAATATCCTGTACATAAAGCATAGCCTTATGGCTGCTTGTCTTATTTTCCCAAGCAAGCATTTTTCCCACTAAGCTTACCTGCACAGATTTTGTCTTTTACTTGTGAACATTGCCTATGTTTTCAACTTTTAATTTTGTGAGTAAGGCTGCAGGCTGTTGTCTTGTTTGACAAAGCCAACAGAAACTTGAATCATTCAGTGCAATTTAGGTCGGCATTTAAGAAGGAAGTACTGTAGTATTTCGTCTGCAATATTTATTAAAGAAATCGAATGATTTTTTCCCTCCTACGTTTCAGTGATCGATCCTTCAGCAGTTATTTTGAAACTATTAATAATTTACTGGGCATTTGGGACAGTGCCCCCACGATACAGTCCTTACCTTCACCAAATTGCATTCATTCCTTGCGCTCTCTGTAGTCACATCTCTCTCAGGTTGCTGCCCTTGCAATTTATGCTCCTTGTAGGAATGCATATCTGTTGTAATTTCTCAGATATCTTGAAAATGCGTCAGAATTTATGATAATGTGGATGGCCACGCAAAGGACTTTGAAGGAGTTGGGAAAATCTAGATATTATCTTTGATTTGACCTCAAGATAAGTTCCCAAATTAGTAATTTTAATGAAAATGATACCTGGGGTAATATTCAGTGTGACTATTAAGCTTCCGTCTTCATGTCAAGATGTACGATGTATTTTATTCTCTGGCTAAATTCTGGGGCAGTTAGTCACATGGTTTCCATCATTACCACATTCTAATCGTCACTGTGAAATTTGGCATAGGACAGCCGTGCACATTGTGTTGAAATGTTAAGCCACCTCAATTTCCTCTGAAAGACTTTGAGCACGTAATACCCACTCAGTACATTTTTAGAAAAAATCCATCCCGCTCTAACATGAAGTGCAGAAGTTAACCATTTTGTTCAAGAGTAGATGCAGTTTCTATTATTCACATGAGTGTATGCTTGTAGTTGTATTTGTTAGTTGCTTAATTTTACTTTAAGGTCAGCAGTTCATGATTCTATTTCAACCCTCTCCCTCAGGCATTTTAACTATTGAGGAATCTTTATGCACTTTTCTAAATCCAGCAATTTATAGTAAAAGGATAGTATTCAGTGTAACTACATTGGCATCTGAATGCCTACTGTGAACAGTGAGTAAAGCAATAGTGGCTCAGCTGTGCAGTCCTGGAACTAGTAAAATACTGAAAAAAATTCAACATTTGATTGAATTAGGTTAAAATCATGATCTTTGTTTAATTGAAATTTTGCATAACAAAAGAGACTTATACAGCTGCACTTCCTATGATTTTTTGGTGAATTCTTGAAATAGATTTCATAGTTCGCTGTAGAACGTTGCCAAATCACTGATGTCATTACCTGATTTACGGCTCACCAAAGTAGACCACTAAATTGGTTCCCTTATTGCGCAAGGTAAACCCAGTTTTCTAATTGCAATAACAATATCAAACCAACTTTGTTTAATACAGAAAACCGTTTTATTGCCCAATTAATTGTTTTAAAGAACCTGTCACAACATCCTTATCACCCCCCAACTAAACTGATCACATATTTAACTCTGAGATTGAACTTGGTGAAATATTACACCTAACATGTGACATCAGTCTATTTGGCTACCAAATAGATTTAGATTGTATGTTTACCAATTCAGTTTCGTGGAATCCGTCTGCCAACTCAATTTGGCAAATTTTCAAGAGATATCAGAACACTGCTATATATAAATGATTTAACTACAAAACATAATGGAAATTTTCACAGTAATGAATTTTCCCAAATTCAATTCTGTGACTAAAATTACAACTGAGATTTTAATTACAGTGAATTGTGGTTACACCTGTCTGTAAAAATTGGTCTTAAAAGCTCAGACATTTACACGAGAGTTAAGTCTCATGTCTTGGTATAGGCACTGTTCTTGCCTTTAAGTTTGTTGTGTAACTGTTGGATGTACGTGTACATGCACTTATACCAAAATACACAGCTGGTGGAGTGACTGTGACCTATTGCTTTGGAATATCAATTTCTGAACCTGTTTCCAGCAACTTGCATGTGAGCCCATTTTTACTTGAAGCTGCATCTTTAAAGGTAGTGCCTATGGGAAAATAAAATGGTCTTGGCATTCGATGCTGGGAAGTACTTGGAATTTGAAAGTCAAAGTGGTCCGATATCATGTAAGATAATCTGGCAGGACCCTCTGCATAACATCTGCTAAAGCACGTCAGACATTCCAATTAAAGCACCAATGATATACAGGCTAGCAATCACCATGAATCTCCCAGGGCTTTGGGAATCTTGGGCGTTGTGGTGGGTAGAGAGCTGGACTGTTTGATGATGTCTGTCTATTGTCGGACATAGTGGATATTGGATTGTTGCTTGCAAACAGTTCTTATGCAGTGACATCATTACTTTTTTTAAATCTTGAACTGGCTTCACAATTTCTTAAGTGGATTGAAACTCGGGAGTCTGCTTTACTGTACATGCCACTTTGCAGTTTCTGCTTTATTATGGCCTACATGTAGTAAGCTTTTTCTGTTTTTTTTTCACTCGCTATTGTCAAAGTGATTCAATCCATTCAGTCAAGTTAATGGAAGACAGTTTTGGGAGAAGGGAACTGTGAATCATGCACATTATTTCACCCTCACAACCATTTCAACTACATGATCCTGTATGGATGAAATGACTGTAGTCTAGGGATGCAGGTATCTTGCTACACCTTACAAGGTGGGCAGAGGTCTTTCATTTTTTTTCTTTTACATGCAGAATTCAGTATATCTATAACTTGGCAATATTTGGATCAATAATGAATACAGCTGCGGCAAAAGTCATGCGCTTCACTTTGTGGGTTTTTTGTGTATAATTTGAGTCTGAGGATAACTGCAAGTTATGTCAGGGCCTAGGTGTTGGTTGTACAGTCTTCGGTACATGTAGCTCGTAAACCTGATGTTAGGCTACGTGTTGTACATGCCTGCCTGCATCCCTGGAGGTCCTCCTTGTGTCGCAGTTTCATAGACCTGATTCTACTTAACCCTGCCTTCCTCATCAAACCTGTAACATCTCAGCATGCTGATTGCTGCTGAACCTCAAACCAGGCCTCTCGAGTGCACTGTGTTGCAGTCTTGTCTGCCCCAAAAGGTGCTTGTGCCATACCAGTCGTGTTCGACATTCCAGGCATACCGGCCAGATCATTCAGACTTGGTTTCTGATTGGCTGGCTTCAAAGTATGCAGAGATCCCGTCTGGAGCTCTGTATTCTTGGCAGCAGGTTTTAATTTCTAGACACATCTTTTTTTATAGTCTGAGTAATTTCTCTGTTTTGCAGTCACAGCAGTGCTGTGTACTTGTACATGTGGTTGATGAGATGATGTGGGGATGAGACATAACATGTATTACAAGCAGATATTTTGACTGGCTGAGTCACACAAATTTTTATCATGAAACTTTGACCAAAGTAGTTTCACTCATTAAAAAAACGAATCTCCTTGGATAAAACACACCCTTGAACTTTTTTGATGTTTTAAAGTGTTAAACTTTTATGATACCTACAGAAATGCATTTTGCTTACTTTCAAGGAATTGTATAAAAGGTAAAGCAAAAATCGTGAAATTGAGCCAGTTTGTGTTCATTTTAGCCATTGATATTAATTCTGAGTGAAACATTTTGTTTCTGTTTTCTTAGGTCCAGTTGTTACTATTACGACGGAATCTGACAGGTAAGTTCTTGGTTTAGTCTATCTTTGTGTTCAGATCTCAAAGAAGGATTGAAAAGCAAACACGGACACAACCCCCCCCCAAAAAAATCAATCTCCACATTGTAATTCAGGAGAGAGAAAGCCTTTTGTCATTAAAAGTTACTCTATATTCACGAAAATAATGGAAGTTGAGATATTGAGATAAAGAGATCAACTTGGATTTATATCATGAGCAAAAATGATGTCCCTGAGCTTATCTGGATAAATTGATTATTAAAGGATGCTTTATGAAAGAACATAGGTAAGAAAACAACTTTGTCCCCTTTTCCTCTATTATCAATAAGTGATTAATAAATTTAAAAGTCCATCTCCGGTTGGTTGGCACATGGGATCACTGCTTGTCTGGGATTTCCATGGAAAGAGGTCATCACCTACGTCCTTCAAGAGGATGCCAGGCCGTCTTAGGTTTTGCCTTCTGCTCCTTGATCCATTTATAGTGCGGCCTCCTGAGTGGAGAGGGGCAGGTGGATTGAAGAGTCTGGCTCAAGGGTGAACTGTGGAATGGGGAAGGTTAACTTCAGAGCCTTGGTTCCTTGACTATATATTGTGGCTGTCATCTCAAGCATGTGTTGTTCACCTTCAGTGTTCTTACAAAAAAAAATGAAGTGCATGTGCATTGATATGAGAAACTGTATCTGCTATCATTCAGACTGACCATGATTGGGAAGTAAATCTGGAGCTCAAATCTGTAGAAATTGACAACCTTAAGGAAAAAATTACATTCTTGTGTGATTGCACATTTCTGTTTTTGCATACTGATGGCTTCTCTCTACTTTAACATGCCCATTTGAAAGGGCAAAGAAGAAATTTAATATGTAAACTGCACCGTTATCTTTAAAGTGTAATGGACGAATCTTCAATTGGCCATCCATCTGACCATTTACCTCTGGTAAATTAGAGGGAGTGGATGTCAACTTCTCTGTACTCAGTAATTTATTCTTATACACAAAATCAAGACCGAATCCAAACAAAACAAACTGTAGTTTGCGAGCTATGGTGGTCACACACCTCAGAAACACAGACAATCAGTGTGGGACAAGACCTGGGTTTTTATACACAACAAATACAACTGGGTAATCAAATTCCATGAGACATGGTAAGTGCAGATTAAAGATGCACATGTGCTCATTCCACAATGTAATCAAATGAGAGCACTGTAAATAATCAGGTGCATCACAAAAGTCACAGACACAAATCTAGGACACCATTACACCACAGTATTAACAGAGACAAGTCTGCCATTGAAAATAATTCTTCAGTCCATTAGTGAAATTGATATGAGATAGCACAGGTCAGCAATGTTATGTTTCACTGTAACCTTCCACAAGATGAGAGCTTGGTTAGTAAATCCCACTAACCCTGGCTGACCTGATTGGAAGTCTTAGTTTTTTAGCCTTTTGATGAATTTAAGATAGTACGGGGGACCTGACTTTTTCTTGTATTACAAAAAATCCTAACACTGTTAGAATCATATTGTACCGGTATGTACTGGTACCAAAAGGTGAAATACATTAGGGTTACATACAACTATGCGTGATTGTTTCCTCTGCCCTTAAGGTTCAGTCAGTTTTGTGCAACCCTTAGCATTCAGTGAGTACTTGAGTAGTGCATGAGTTTTTACAAGCTTCTTGAATACCTTGATAAGTGAATGTACAGAAGTACCTCAGGATACCTCGGTCAACATGTCCAGCCGACCCGTCTTGGTAGGTTTTTGAAAATTGAGAGTCCACTGTTGCACTGTGACCTTCAGAAATTGCATCAGTGTAGTGCTCCTTCTTGACACTCCCAACGCACCTGAAGGTGAATTGCTGGCCATTTGTTCTGATTTGAGGGTGTATTTGTGGCAATCGATAAATCTTTTTACCAGACTGTGTTCCCTCTCCAGGGCTTTTCAAATGGTTCAATATCACCATGTACTGCAGCATACATGTACTCTGTGTCTGAAAAACAGCTGTTGATGTTCTAATTGGAGACAAACCATGATATCTCTTTTAAGTATTTGTGTACAGCCCATTTGACCATTTTGCCAACCTCTCTGGTTAAAATGTGTCCTGCACCTCATTTGGAACTATTGGTTCTGCCTTATCATAAGTTTTCGTGCTTGAAGTGTCAGTGGTATTGCTATGGTTTTCTTGAGCATAATAAAATAGATATTCTAGTACATATATACGTTCAATGTGTATCTTAGATTTCAAGTATGTTATAGCCCTTGCATGTGTTAAAGGTTGCAAGGAAAAGTGGGAGTTATATTCACCGATTCAATTTGGAAGAAAAATCTGACAGAATTTAATGTTATGCAAGGAAGCAGTGTCTTATTAAAACTGGAAAAGGTCTTTTTTTGGGGTAAGGTTGCTTTGTGTTCTCTGATGTACATGGGTATAAACATGGAAATCGTTTGTTTTGCAGGGAGTGTTTGTATAAATTCCCTTGTGCCAGAGAAAAGTAGGGGCAGATAAATATTCCAGGAGAGTTGAATATAATACTGTTTAGACTGCTGGCCTGCCCAGCTAAGAGGTTTATCATTCCCTAGGGAAAAAGCATTGTGCATTTACTGAGGCATATAACAGTAGCTATATTATGATGACATGAAAGAAGGGGGGGGGAGATTCTGTTCCTTTCTGTGAGATGTCAAAGCTTAGTCCTATTTCTGTGGGAACTACCTCCACGAGACATTAAATTGATTTTGTTTTGGTGTTAGTGAATTCCATTCCCTGAAAGAAGCTTCCTGATGGTGCACAATGCACTGTGCTGTTAGAACTTGAGATATTCTAAAATTCTGAAAATGTTAGTTTGAGAAGAAAGCAGTTTCAACCAAATATTGCCATGATACAAAGCCTGCAAAAGGTCTCTTTTGCACAGAGGCTTGGTTGAGAAATCAGAACACAGTGATTTGAATCATGTAAAATCTGACAACCATTTTACCCCTTTGGATTGTGACTGTAGCTTTTAGCATTTGACTGACATTTTAGTTTAAGGTTACATTACCCAGTCTGGGCCTCTTGTAGCATGTTTATCATAATTGATATCATTTTTTGTGACAATTGATTTCTAGCGATAATCTTAAAATGTTTGATGTGCTGTCAATTAAGCAACTGCAGGCTGTATGCACAGCCCCAATATGCAGAACAGCTGAAAAAGTCTTCAAGACAATCCTTATAAAATATTTTCCTTTGAAAGTTTGGCTCTCTGCCAGTCAGATGACATCACTGGAGGGAGGTGGAGCTATTCAAATTGACCTGCTCAGTCCACGGCTTATCTGAATGGCATTTGCACATGCAGCTCAGGGGGAAAGTCAGCCAATAAGAAGCTGGCTTGTGTAAGTGCACCGCATGCTAATTAGCCAGACTGAGGCTGTATCTGAAATCCGTAATGCTGGGCTGACTTGCAGTCCTACCACCGAGAGCAACACATCCGCAGAGCGAGAGAAACAAGGCTGTCAAGCCGCCCATTTACTTGCGAGCAATTGTCTGGATTTTAAGTCTGGTGTTAAGAAAAAGTTAAGAAGCTTCTGTTTTTGTGTCAAGAAGGAGCCAGAGACAAGGCCCTGCTGGTGCCAATCTAAACCTGTTGGGAATGGACCTGGATTCTAAGGGGGTGACACCATCGGTAGGAAACTCTTATTCTGTTATTTATAATTCAAAAGTGAACTTATTCATAAGTATAGATTCTTGGAGTGATGTCTTTTAATGAGGTGTATCTTATGAGGTGTTTGGTGCATGAATGTAACATTGAGGTCAAAGAGTCATGAAATAATTGAATTGTGAAAAGAAATTACTCTGTTAGGGTAGCTTTAGTTCTGGGTGGAGCTTCTAAGCCCCGCCCCTTGTGGCACATCTACTAAGTTAATTAGTTTAAGTGTGCCGTTATTTGTTTGAAACCCTATTATCTTCGGTAGCTTCATCAATTTTATTTCAAATTATGTCAAATAGTGAATTTTTACCTGATAAACCCAGTCATTTTTTTCTGACATTTTTTCATTAATTGGCTCAAAACTACATTGTAAAGTACAAAGCTCAATTTACATACTAAATCTAGACACAGTATAAATTTACTGGCGCAATAATTGACGGGCCACATTTTAAATTTTAACAAATGAAAGATGCAAAAATTTGTCTCAAGTACACTTTGATAAATCATTGTAGTATAGTTTGCTGGGGAGAATTGCAGTGATAAGGTCTGTGGTCTGTAAAAATTAAATTTAACTACAAAATAAGCATCACATAGATCAGGACATGACACCTTGCTTAAAATAATACTAACTACATGTAGCTTTTCAACAACATGGTGAATTTACTTGTCACCGGTTGCCACATGCTGAACTTTTTTTGCTTTAAATGGTAGAAACCAACAGCTCTGCCGAATTTTTTTCATAAAAACTGAATATCTGAATAGTGAAAAGGGTCCTACATATTTACCTGCGCTAGTTTGAATATACTGCACAGATATGAGTCTGTGCCTGCATGTTATCAGGTCATCATCTTTCCTGACCGTGATGGCTTGCTGTGCATGACCAGATACACATACATGTACACATGGCTGTAACCTGCACACACAGCGGTAGCGGTGCATAGCACCATATATGGTAAGAACTACCATATGCTTGCATGCTGATGGCATCTCTCTGTGCAAGGCAGGGTATGCGGAGGGATTTCTTTACATTGAAATCAAACTCCGCTTAGACGGAGACAAAGACAGGGATTAAACTAGTCGGGCAGTTACTTCTCCTCTTGAAATGTCCATTTTCCTAGGGAGGTGTAATGTTCAAACACTGCCGACTTGAATTTGTTTATTTTCTTTGAAGGGAGGTTGTTGAAAGGTCAACTGAGGTCATCTTTTGTGTTTAAGTTGTTCTACCCTTCTTGAGGTTCTGGTCTGGCCTTTGGTTTTTTTCTGAAATTTTCTTGGGGGGGGTGCAAAGGACAAATGAATGTTTTAACATTCGTTTTTAATTTCATTAACATGCCTTCACTGTAAATTTTTAGTAGCTTCTTACTCATAGTTAAGAAAATCAAAACTTGTATCCTTTTTATCAAAGCATTCAGTAATAATTTTAAATAGTTTTAATATGCCTGCGTAAACAAAATTGCAGCCAATAGGCAACATCTGGTTAAAGGTACATGAATGCTCCAAAGAAATGTAGGCCATGATGTAAACATATTGATAAAGACACCAGTCAGCGTGATATTTTGAGTTGCCCAGGTTGTCATTATCACAGGTCTTTATTATTCACTTGTGGCTCGCCTGCAGAGTGGCAGCATAGATGCCAGGCATACCAGAGTTGGGGCCTGGCTGCAGACTGCACTGGTATGCTCTGACCAGAGCTGTTTTATAAGGAAAAGAGAATGATGTCACCGTTGTGTTCTCTTAACTATTTGATCATTGGAGGCCGTCCTACTCTGGAAAAATGCCATGATTCTGAGAATGTGTGTCCAAATGTGCCTACACTGAGGGCACTGTTTTATGTTCATATAAAAATGCAAAATTATTTTTGAGTTTTATCAGATGATGCAAGTTTTTTTTTCCAGAAGAATCAGCAGTGCTCAACACAATTTATTTTATTCTTTCAAAGAATTTTAGCCTACATATTTTGATATTTGATGATCAGTTTAGGATGTTGTTCAGTGGAATATGGCATAGTCACACAGATGTTCCCCTTTTCATTTTGTTGTGATAACATTGGCTTATACTTTTTAAAATGGATTAGTTCCAAGGCCATGTCTTATTAAGTCAAAAGGCCTCTTGTATTGGTTAACAGGCTTACTGTATACATGTTCAAAGCTTGGAAACTTCTGGAGTTGTTGGAGTTATGTTAACTGAATGCAGAGAATGAAGACTTGGTCGCTGTGCACTTTTTCAGAATGCGAGGGCCGTCCAATAATAGATTTAGATTTTGATCAAGAATGTTCTAGTGACTACATGTAGGTTTTGTGAGCTTGATATCTTTACTTAGCCACATTACGTGTGCTTGACTTAAGAGATTTGGCAAAGGTCATATTAGAGATTATTTTACTGACATCTTGAACTAAGGTTGTGCAAATATGAACAGTTTGATCCAGGGATGTGATGATATGCGCTGCAGTACAGCTTCAAGGTTGTCAAGGGAAATGCTGTGGCTGGACCTCAGCATGTCTGAGACCGCGTCAGACACCAGATGGATGTTTGGTGCATTCCTAACCACTTGAATCATTATGTGCGCATGTACGTGATGAATTGCCCACGATAACTGTTTCCCATATAAAGTCTGTCAACCTTTGATAGAGAACAAGTTCTGTGTGTGTCTTTGACTTGCTTGTGTTTGAAGAAGAAAAAATGGAAAATACTTTCATTCAATTTGTCAAAAGTAAATTGTAGTTTTTCAGTGGTTGTTGAAAAAATGGTACCTTAACATCCATGATTGTAGTTTATTCCATTTTTGAAAGGGGGTTATTAATTTACTAGGGAAGTTCATCCCACCAACATCTGTATTTGGTAATTGATTCACATCTTGAAAATACATCTTGAAAATGATTCACATCTGTTTACAAAGTACATGTAAGGTTTAGATCTTCATAGGTACTCAGTAGAACAAAATGTTAACTTTTTTATAGCTGAGAGAGTTCTTCATTTACAGAATGAAAAATTAAAGTGTAAATTTCAACAGCTATTATTAGGTCAGTGACCTCAAATTTTTTGTCACCCAGGTGATATAACAGTGCAGTGACCTCCTTATCATCCTCCACATACTTGGACCATCTCTAGCCCCCTGGTGATGCAACACATGCTGGGTTGTGTGATGAGTTAATAGGGAAAGTTTGGCATGACTTTGCATGCCATATTTTTTTAGAAATTCTCAGGCCCAGTGCAGTTATTGTCAGAATCCTTTTGAATTGACAGCTGGGTTCAGAGACGCATGGACTCTATTTCTCTGTTCTCCTATAAAACTTGAATAAGATTCATGTTCATATCTGAAGGTGTATGTGCCCCATACCTTACATTCTTTGCTGAAAAGCAGACATTTTGTATTATAATGATAACTTGGAATTCTAGTTTATTTCTGACCATACGTGTGTCAAATATGAAGAACAAAAAAAATTGAAATCACAAACTCTGGATAGCATCCAAGGCCTATATATTTGAGAACTGTTCAAACACTAAAACCTAGGAGTCCTGAAAAGTACATATTTATAATAGATGATGGAATGTGATATAGGTTTGTTCTATAAACACTCAGTTCTGCATAGCTATACTTTGTATATATAAATGAATCCATTAACTTCACATCATGGCGTGCGAATTAGATTTATTCTATAAACACTCGTGTTCCTAGATCTGATATCCTTGGTTGAAATTTACCCATGAACTTTAGTCAGTAGTGTGCGTGTGTGTTATAAACACTCATGTTCCAAGACCCAACATTTTTGTTGGTCTGATTTTCCCGTTCTTGTTTTTATAGATCAGCATTCATAGATAAACAAATCCATAATTCATTCATGTATAGAGTCATACTTGTAGTCAAACAAAAAGCTTTTCTTCAGCATAAGGATGTTCTTTAAACCATTTGTCGTTTTCTTTTCAACTTGATTAATGGTCAGTTTTTGAAGTAAGAGTTGCCACTTTTGTCAATCAAATGTGTCAACTTTTTGGTGAGAGGGGTTGAGTTGTCATATTTTAGTTCTACAACTTATGGATATGAGTGCAACAAGTCTGATTTGGACCTCTTTAACTGGAATGAAAGAAAACAATGTGTCAGTAGAACACATAGATGTTATACAGGTCTCTGCGGTCATCTGGATGTGAGATGAGGGTCTACAGGGACAGAAGTTTAGCATAACTTTGGTCCCTCCTACCCTTACTTACTTAAGCCTTGAAAAATAATTTCTTCCTGCATCTGGTTGTGTTCCAACCATAATTCACTCTCCGGTAGCCCAGAGTCAGATTTTAAAATCATTTTCAGTCTTCTGAAGAAAAAAAAAATGCATCGGTTGATAAAATTCCTCAATCAGTTTGCAGCTGCAAAGCTGCACCCCATTCCACTTCTCTCTCAGCAAGAATTACTGTGAGCTCTCCAAACTAAGATGGTAAATGCTGAATTCCTGAGAAGTCACAACCTCTCATCCACGGGTAATCAGATTGTGTTTAGGCCTCACAATACCCGCACCTCAATGCTGTGTCACTGCCAGTGTGGTCCATTAGTCTTTGGCTGTGCCCTCCTTAACCAATCAATAACTGGATGTTTTCTGTGCTGCGTCATTGGCCAGTTTTCTGTTCTTTTGCCAGCATGATGGTTTTTTTCATTTAGAGATGAAATTGTCCAACCAGCACATTCAGTAGTAAAACTGTAATTTATTCCAAGTAAATCAGCAACTTCACTTGCTAAAAAAATGGTATCCAGATTTATTTCCTTGCTTTTTTCTAAGTAGTAAATTTGGCAAAGGAGATGAAAAAAACCTGATTTTCATATTTCTCATGCATTGATTTTGCCATCATCTTCATTTTGCCTGTGATCTCTTGACAGTGTTGAAACCACCACCACCACCTCCACAAAAGTGACCGCAATGTTTGGGCAGAGGTCCAAGTTCAAGGAAGACCCACCCAAGTTCAGTCAGCCGGTCAAGAGCGTGTCACTTGTCCAGGGAAAGCCAGCGTCCTTTGAGGCAGTCATTCAAGGTATGGAGTACACTCTTGAATTCAGTTCAACATCGTACATCCAGAAAATGCTCATGCATGATCTCTATGTAAGGTATGTTAGTCATGTTGAGACAACAAAATACACTCTCTTTGCTTTCAGCTTCTTGCCAAAATAAAAGCAGAAGACGCAAATCCCCTTAAAGGAAAAAGAAACCATATTCATGTGTCATGCAGAAATCTTAGAAAGACTTAAAGATTCGTGAAAGCTTTTTCCTAGCAACCTATGGTTCTAGCAAACCCATTTAGGAAAAAAATAAAGAAACAAACAAAAGCAGTTCTGTCTGAAGGTGAAATTAAAGAGTTAATCTTTAAAGATCTTGGATTCTTGGATTATGAATCTTCTGCAATCAAGTTGCTTTTCAAATGAGTGACACATTTAACCTTCTATGCTGTCCTTGCTTGCAGTAGATGTAGTGTGAGTCCAAACATCAGTCTGTAACATCTATTTGTACCTTTTTATCACTTTTAAAGAAAGCAATCCATTTTGCATGTGTGATCTCTCTTCGCATTCTTCCTTATGGGAGTTAAAGTCACACTGTAGAAGGAAAAACAGCGGTGACTTTGTCAAAACAAGATCAAACACTCCACATTTATTGAGCTGTAATGATTTGAAGTGCTGACCTGACGTCACATGTGGGGGATATCACCAGAAACACCATGGCTTCTTCCTTATAAACAAGTTTGCTGGGTTTATTTTGCCGTCAAATCTGCTGCTTTTTCGTTTGCGTAGACATCGCAGCAGTTACACAACTTCTGCACTTAACCATTAACTGTGCACTGTTTGTACACCACTTGAATCGTGCCGTGGAGCGTGTGTGCCATCCTTTAAACTCAGTGCCCGAAGTAGCCGTGCAGATTGGCTTACTGTTTGTCCACAGCCAGCTCATGGCTGCTGACTCAGTACCTATCGTGTTGCCACTTCACCCATTCTGTTTTTGATCTCGAGCTTCATCTCCGCGAGTCTTTTTGCATTTCGTGCTTTTCTTAAAAGTCCCCTGAAAACATTCGCTCAGTTGTTTGATCTGCAGTGTGTGTATCACTATACTCTCGTTTGTTGTGTTGATCAAAAAAAGCCTAAAAGGTCTGAACAACAATAAATTTCCAGTTATGAATATAAACCTTCCTTTCATTTATGCATCAGTCACACCACAGCACCATTTGTTGAGATCATTTGGGTATGAACAATATTTATATGTGTGTGCATACATAAGTGCAGTGTATCGAAATTAAAATTGAAAGTGAACAATCGATCTTTCTGATGATACATGTATCTCAAATGCTAGATTGAGTGGTTTCAAAAGCAATTTTGATCTTCGCCAAATATCAGGCTCATTTTCTCCCCATCAAAAGTTCAAGGTTGTATGCAATGTCATACCCACTTTACATATTTTATTGTCAATGTCAAGATCCTGTTTTTTTTTTGCAATTTTCTCATCTCTTTCTCATGCAAATTCCATTGTAATTCATGCTTGCAGTAGAGATTGCAAACTCTCTGTTGACTTTTGCAGTTGTCTGTTGGCTCAGTGCTGTTATAGAAACTGTCTCGTCTTCTCTCTTCTTGTCCGTTTCTTTCAAACGCTCCTCCCCCCCCTCACTCTGACCAGGCAACCCTGAGCCAAGTGTCCGATGGTTTAAGGATGACACTGAACTGAGAAACTCCCCCAAATACCAAATAGGCCTCAAAGCGGGCCATGCCTCCCTCCGCATCCCCAAAGTCACTGCTGCTGATGCAGGGAAGATTAAGTGCGAGGCCAGAAACTCTGTTGGCACAGCTGTGTCCACCGCTGAACTGGTAGTCAAAGGTTAGTCCCTGAGATGGTGGCTGGGATCATGCAGGGCCTGTATCATGCTGCCTTTGTATTTTCTCTGGTACTGTTGCTTTTTGTCTTATTCCTACCAAAGCTAACAGTTTCTTGGTATTTACACTTACAACAAGTGCAGTCATTGCCAGCCTTTACCAGTGATTTCTTGGTGAATATTCACAGAAACATTGCTGTGTTTTGCAATGGTTCCATATTGGAACAGAGCCCTGGTTTATGCAGGGGAATGAGCAACTTAATATGGATGATTTTTTTTTTCATTCCTTACCCAGTCTAATTAAACTTGTTAATGTGAATCCCCCCAAATGAAGCCAAACCTAGTGGTACCATGGATGATGCTGTGGGTTTGATATGGAAACAGCCCTGACTACAAAGTATTGTAGATGCATGTAATATATGCTTGCTTGCTTTCTGTGTCGAGCTTGATGTGTTGTGGTTTTAGCAGTTAATATGCATGATATTTCTCTCCGGCACATGTCCAAGATTGGATTTGGATTTGTTGAAATTTTCTTTAAGAACGAGTGTATTACCCTGCTCAATCAGATTAACTATTTTTATGTTATTGACCTGCTGCTAAGGAATGGCAAGTGTATTTTGTTACTGTTGTTGGAAATATAATTGATTGAATCCTTCCTTGCAGAAAAGGGAAACTGTTAACTGATCTCTGCAGATTTTTCCTTTTGTTGTGCCATTATATTTGTTGTACTTGAATAATGTCGTGCTCTCAAGTTTTATGACAAATAGATTCAAGAAATGAAATAAGCTTGTTTTCTGTTAACCTCAAGGTGGAAATTGATTAAAGATGCACGTGACACCTGTTTTGTTCAGTTTCTTTTGAATTTTGGTTGTATTGTTGAATAACCTGCATGCAATCAGTATGACTGACCAGTTAAGCCAATTAGAACTATGTATCTTTTTTAAATGTTCTGTTTGGCATGACTTTGTATCGGCAGATGTCACAGACGCACCTCGCTTCACCCAACGCCTTCAGAGCCAGCAGGTTAGGGAAGGTGACAGGGTCTGCTTTGAGGTGACGGTTTCTGGTCTCCCCGCCCCAACCGTCTCCTGGTTCCACAACAAGGACCAGCTGAAATCCTCAGCTGACATCCAGATTGGTCGGGATGGTGACCGGTGTACACTGACCATCCCAGAGGTCTTTGATGAGGACGCCGGAGAGTACACGGTCAGAGCGGAGAATGCGGCTGGAGTAGCGTCCAGTCAGGCTCAGCTGAATGTCAGCAGTAAGTATGGAGGGACACAAATCGTTGATATGAAACTGTAGTCACTGTAACATGAAAATTCATCTGTGTAAATCTTAAATCCAATTCCTAGTGTAACGTGATGTGAACACTGAATACTTGAAGCAGGCATTTATACTGAAAACTTAGGGCTTCATCAGCAGGTTGATAAAAATGAGTTTAGTTGACTAGTTTGGATTGCAAACTGGAGCTTGTAAATGAGCCAGGTTGGTACTCCGTCAGCACATGCTCAAAATGAAGGGGGTCGGATGTTACTTAAGATCAGCAGTACATGTATGATGTCAGTGCCAACATGGCAGCTGTGTGCTACCCCACACATATTGAATGTGGTAGAGCTGGCATGCTTTGTTCTCAAATGGCCTTGGCTTTTTTAAATGGCTCACTGTACATATTTGAAAGTCGCAAAGGAAAATAAAGTATTGAATACCTAATACTCCTAAAGAAAGGAAGAACCACTGCACCTGACTTTGGAGTTGCTGTAATATGTGAAGTTACCAGGCCAGCCCATTTGGTAATTGGGATTGAAGTGACCGAGTCATGCTTGTTCCTTGACAGGTGCCAAAGGTCAGAAGGGTCCCATCCCTGCTGCGAAAGTGACAAAGGAGCAGGATGCTGTATCACACACTGCACCACCACCACCACCACCACAAAGTGTGCAGCTGTCTGCTCCAGTGTTCACTAAGGTAAGTTGTCATGATATGGAAGGATTTGGTACTCCAGTGAGCGGACACTGTTACTCTACCTTAAGGCTGAATGTGATGTATAGAGAAGTGCAAGGAACATTTCACTGCACAGGTTGAAATTTTGTTTTCAAAAATGGCGTAAAGGGTTCGGGTTACAAATTTCCAGCTGGGCAGAGAAAATTGATCAAAGAAGAATCAAAACCAGCAGTCACCATGGAAGAGTCGCTAAACCCTAAGACATTTCTGGATTCTTCAAAACCACTTGGATGGTTTGAAGGATAATTAGGATTGGAAAATGTAGAGCACAACCACTACCATATTACTTGATGCCTCTTGGAAACAGAGAACGTGCCTTTGGGTTCCTGAACAATGGAGGAATCAGGAAAGTCCCTTGGAAAAATTCATCGGGAGTCCAGGAGAAAAACCTATTCCATTTCGGAACTTGTTTTGTTTTATGTCATAATTTTGTGTTGTTTTGTTGACAGCCCCTTTCTGATGTCCACACCAAAGAAGGGCAATCCACCACATTGTCCTGCACCCTCAAAGGCCAGCCCCAACCGACCATTGCCTGGTACCGTGAGGGATCCAAGATTGAGCCAAGCCTGGACTTTGAGATGGGTTACAGCAATGGTGTAGCCACCCTGACCATACCTGAGGTCTTCATGGATGACGCGGGGAAGTTCACCTGCACCGCTACCAACCCAGCTGGTAGCAGATCAACCTCCTGCCAACTGAGAGTAACAGGTGAGCCCATGAATAGTCCTTACTTATTTTGTTATAAAAATGTATTCTGAAAGCAGCCTTTTTAAAGGCAGCTAATGTATATCATCTACAGTGAGTCCGAACAATTAATTTTTCTTGCAGTTTTACTTTGTTGCATTTTTGTAGTGTGTGATTCACTGAGACTGAAAGAATAATTCATCAGTTTGGAAACATTTGTTGGACTCTCAGCCTACACCTTAAACAAGGGGGAGAAACCCCTGTCTTGAAACTCAGTAAGGTTGATCACTATACAAACATGCATACTTTTTTCTGCTTCTGTTCGGATTTACTAAAACTGAATATTCGAATAATCAATGGCATTGAAGGTTGAATATTTGAATAGCCAGTGGTTCAAATTGTTCAGTCTCACTCCTGGGATGGGTTAATTGGATTTAGAAATGACAAAATGCTACATAAGGACACATTCTGGCTGATTATTAAGACCTTTGAAGTTTGATAATGCTTCACAAAACCATTTCAAAGAGCCAAACCTTGTAATTCCTTCATAAATGTGTCATAATTATTTAAAGTGTGGAACCTTTTTATTTGAACTGGATAACTCTTTTTCCTCAGGATCTGGGAAACCCCAGACCAATGCCCTAAACAGCGTCCCTTCAGCTGACAGCAAGACGCCCTCTGCTGGCGACGTCAAGCCGGAGTTTGTCAAAGAGATGCAGCCGATGCGTTTCAACGAGGGCATGACTTGCCGCTTTGACTGCACTGTCAAAGGGAAACCCTTTCCGGAGATCACTTGGTTGAGGAACGGTGCCCCCATCGCAGGGTATAGGTAGGTCAAGAAACAGCATTCAGGATTGTTTCATATTATGGGTTTTGCCCTTACTCAACATGCATACTTGTATTTATAAACACTGTATACTCTTGGACAAGTACTGAGTATACGTTGGGTGAGGACAAAACCGGTAAAATAAAGTTAACATCTCCTCAATGCAGAGTACATCTTGAAAAAAGATTGTTTTAGTCTGTCTATCGAGCTTAAGTTTAAAAATTCATGATCTGTCTACAAACTTATTATTACTTTTCTTGGTTTCTTGTCATGTTTTTTCCAGTCAGTGTGTTTGTGGCAAATCAAACCTCTTAGATGTTCATGTGTATAAAATTCTTCCCAACTCGCAAAGAATGAAACTAAAATTAAACTAGTAATTTGATTAAATATGAAAGCTCTTTCTCTTCAGTTCTGAAATAAAAATAATCAAACCATTGTTTCAGATCTTAATGTATGTCCACAATATGAACTGAAACTAAATTTATCATGCACCAATATATTAGGAAATGCCTTTGTAAATGATACAATGCTCGATTTCGAAACACCCAACTAGTTAGCAAATAAGATTCCCTTTTGTTTATGTCAGCAGTTTAACATTTGGTACAAATTTGAATGAGAGGTAGACCTGATATACAGTATCGTGGTGATAGATTAAGATGTATAGATAGGCTTAACCTTCTTGAACCACGACTTCGCTGCTTGCAGTAGCTAGAGGCTACAGATTAGCTTCTGCTCCAAGTTACTCTCTTAGCAGTCACTATTCAATAAAAGAATGCTTCGATCCTCATTTTAAAAAAGGGTACCAAAAGTGTAGCATTGTTTACAGTATTATCTTCAAGGAAATTTGGAGTTTAAATGATTTGTAGACTTCTGGCAAAAAGAGCTGAAAACTTTGGCATCATCAATTTGGAGGCCGCTGATTTGTTTGCTGAATTCTTGTGTGGATCAGGCAAAATTTGTAATAGAGTTGCTTGAGGCCACTGATAATTGTTTCATTAAGGGCTTAGTGATTATGTCATCGATCGTCTTTGTGTAGGTTCATCCCAAGACAAGACATCAAGACAGGCTTTGTCTCCTTGGAGATCACCATGATGTTGGATGATGACATCGGAGAGTACACCTGCATTGCCAAGAACGGTGCAGGGGAGGCAGTCTGCAAAGCTTTGCTCATGACTGAAGGTAAAACTCAACCAAAGAGCTAAGTTTACGGGAAAAAAAGCTGAAACACTAAAATGATTGACTTATCGCTGACTTTATTGTTGTTTACGTTCTCGGCAGCCAATTACAACCGATGGGCACGTCAGAAGTATGAGGAGCAAGTCCGTTCCCGGCCTCAAGACCAAGAGTACTACGCAGATTATCAGGAAGGCCCCTTGTCACCCAGCAGGGCTACTCTCCATGGGGGCAGTGTTGACCAGGAGGGCAATGTCTACCATGATGTCGATCAGGAGGTAAACAACTATCAATAATCTCTATTGTTTTTTTGGTTTAAGATTAAAACTTAACAAAGGTGCATGTTGGTATTTTCTGCTGTTGAATCTGTGGAGATGGAATTGTTGCTGCTGCTTGCATTGCATTCTTTCTGAAACATTTGGCAGAATAAATGTGTTTGAATTTCTTCCACATCATTTGTTGCATCTTTGATTTTTTTCCGTTGGCAAAAGTTGCAGCATTATGAGATTTTTCCATGCAGTTTAAATAAGCTGCCTCTCTCAGAAACATTTCCTACGTGGTTAAAGCGATTATGCTGTAAAAAGATTGTAGGTTGAGCTCGCCAGCAACTTTTGCAGAAAACTGCGTAGTGATCATTATTTAAATGGGAGAAAGTGTGAGTGAAAGAGGTTATTGATTTTAATAAGCATTTTTGTACTCTACCTGGCATGAATTACTTCCGCTCTGGAGTTGGCAATTTATTGTGAAACTCACTTGAAACTCTGGGCCACCGTAGCATTGATAAGAAAGAAAAGTAGTTTGTATTGTTGAAAGCTGATGCCAATTTGTAACAAAGCATTGTGACTGCCCCCGCAATTGGTACTAAATTTGATCCTGTCTTCCCTTGTCTGACCAGTGCCTTGGACAGCTCCCCCCAACCCTCTTTATTTTTTTCCCCTCCTTGGTTCTCAGTACTCCTGAAACCAAGATTCTCCAACACTCACCATGGAGTGCATGGTTTTTATTTCCTTTCTCCTCGTTCCAACCGCATCTTTTCACCCCACTAGGGTTACAAAATTTCCCCGTTTGAGAAGCGTCTTTTGCAGGAGGTAGCTTACAGGGAGAGGTCCCTCCCAAAACCTGCGGGTGAGGCGGGCGGCGGCCAGAAAAGTATACAGTCAGCTGAGGTATACTGTTGCTATGACAACCATTTGTTGCTATTTCAACACCCTGTTGCCATGCCAGTCATCTGTTGCATGAGTTAGATCATTAGCTGGCATGTCAACCTGACAATCATCGGATACTGTATGTTGTCATCTAATATCCAATTGTATTGCACAATTAGTTTCTTTATTTAGGAAAGGTAGAGCTCACCCTTTTGTGACTATTCATTTGTCACTTGTCACTTCATTTTGTTTTCTGTAGGTGTACAGCAACAGCCAGTTTGCTTTTGCCTCAAAAAAGCAGACTTGAAAAACATTTGCTTTGTTCTTTGTTTCTTAGTTCATGTACTAACATTAATTTTTTTTGAGTGTTAAAGATGTGAGTTTACAATTTGAGGTGAAGATTATGTACAGTGTGAGAGTGAACAAATACTCTGTTTTGTCAGAAAATATTTATTTGTATTTGTGGAAGCTGTTTCTATCTGATTCATCTTCTGTGTTTTTTGCAGTGCTGTATATATATCAAATATAGCATATGTTTGTCTCCGTGAAATTTACTGTTCATTCAACTTCATGCCATTATAAACATAGTCATTCTGTTTCAGGTGCGGAGAGTGCTGTTCATGTTGCAATTTGAAGTGAATCAATACTCCAGACACTTTTTTGTATTTTAACTCGTAGTAGATGTTTCCAGTTCTCTGTATGGAATGTAATTTAGTGGGCCACATGGGAGGCTAATGTGAGTGAAGTCAATATCGTCACGACTATATACGAGTACAAAACCTTCAGGTTGGATGAAGGTTTCAGGGCTGTTTATTTTCAATTCTAGAGTTTTTTCTCAAGACTGATTTCTTTTCTTCGGGGCATTTTTCATTGGAGTTACCAAACCATGTCTGCAGTGCTTTCTGTGCAGTCAGTCTTTGCTTTCATTCTTAAGGTTGACATTATTACTTCATAATTTATGATGTAATTCATCATAATGCGCCATTTTACATCGCAGGGATTCAAACCATCACCCTTTGAAAAACGCTTAATGAGGGAGGTCCAGTTGAGAGAACAATCGGCTGATCCATCCCCGCCTTGCCCCGGCGAGCAGGTAGACACTCATCACCATTCAGCATGGTGTGCTTCTCCCCCCCCCCATTTCCCCACTGTTTCCCCACCCTATAAGTAGCATATGCACTTAAGGATGCGGGCATTCTGTAAGACAGGCTGTGTTACTGTCATGTTCTTGGAAAAAACTCATTGAGTACAAGAACAATTAAATGTGTTTCTAACATTGGAGCTTCCAGCATTTAGTGTGAAAAGAGACATGCAGGTTGTTGAGAATGTGGAAAATGTTCATGTTTAGGTTTCCATTCTGCCACACTCTTTTACAGGAAAATAAAATAATATAAGAAAAAAATATTTCCTGGACTACAGAGATGTAGTTTGAAATTTCTCCCCCCGATGTGTGTCATGCATGCCAAACAGTTGCCTGTAAATATTTTATTGTGCAGTTGTAGGGTGTGTTTTGTTATAATCCATTAAACATGAACCATGGCAAGGTCCGTTTGAAGATCTTTGCTTGTGTTCTTAATATTTTTGAGATGGTGAAAAGAATGGTTACTGTAGCATTTTGCAAACCTCATTTTCCAAGTCACAAAGTTTATTGCATGGCCTTACCCTCCTGTGCTTTGCTCTAGTCCTTATATCATTCGTGGTAGGTGCCTCCTCCCTATTTCCTTCCAGCGCTGTTCGTGCATCAGTGAAACTTCTGTAGTTTTGATGAGTCAAAAAGGGATCAGTGGCTAACCAACTGTTCCTATCAACAGGTGTATAAAGTGTCACCGTTTGAAACTAGACTTCAGAAAGAGATAAACATGAGAGACCGTCGTCGGGCGTCGGCTGACTACCCAGACATGGCACCAGCGGGGGTCTGTTCAGATGTTCCTTTCTTGGCATGGTGTGGCCTGTTGAGTTCTGAACTTGATGTCAAATACTGACATACTTATTGTTTGATTTTGAGAGCATATGCCAGTTCATTGTGGCTCTTTGGTGAGCCTTTATTTGAGGAGACTGCCTACAGCCAGAGAGAGAAAGATAAATCTTGTTTTGAAAATTTTTTGAAATGAACTTAACCAATTTAGGAAGTAAAAGAATTTGGACACTCAGTGTCATTAATCTGTAACATTGTTTTCATTATCGCATCATCAAGAATTGTGTCCTGTGTTGCATGGATGAAAGGATGTGTATTTAACTTTCAGTGTTTTAAAGATACATCGATATAGTTCTTTGAAACTATTTTTTACGAACTGAGGTGTGAGTAATTACTATTTTGTTGAATGAAGTGTCTTGATGTAAGTCTGAGTGATTTGTTAGCATGAGTTTGCCAGGCATGTTGCTTCTACTGTGAATAGTAGGCAATGTAAGGAAAGACTTTTTTATTTTCCCCTTGTGTAATAGACCAGATGCCTTGCTACTCCATGAAGCAAGCATTCACTAACACTGCTGTCATTGAGATTATTAGTGTCATTTAGTGTGTATGTATTTCCATGTAGAGTTTAAAATTAAACGAAAGTCACAAGTCATTATTAGCTTATTGGACCTTTTAGGCAGAAAGTGAAAATAATGAACTTTGATTCCATTCAAAACTGTAACACTGAAAAAACATCATGCATTCTTGCTTCCAGCATCCATTTTCAAAGGCCAACCCATATTAATTGTTTTTTTTAGGAAAATAAATTCATTGCAAGGGATTTAGTCCAGAAAATGACAAAGATCTGTGTTCAACTATGCAATATACTGCATTTCTACAAGGTTTTCATGACCTTTGTGGCATCGCAAATTGCATTGTGAAGATCAGAGCCTCCATTTTAGGAGTTCTCTTGACCAGTAGTGCCATTGCTTCGAGAAATTCTTGTTGGAACAGATTAACATATTTTAGACACTTGAAAAGCTCAAATGCACTCACTTTTATGAATTGCAAACTCCCGCATACAAGTGCTGTTTAGGTCAGTTATTTCTTGTAGTCTGATTCCAAGGTGTTCTGGTCTCCTCTTCACAGCCTTTCAGTGTGCCGGCCTTCGAAGCCAAGCTGCTGCAGGACCCCAACTTGCCAGGCATGGTGACTGAGACTGAGACAGAGACCGAGCTATCAGGCATGGAGACAGATGCTGAGAGATCTGGCGCCCCGTGCTTTGTCAAGGAGTTGAGGAACTTCAAGGTTTTGGAAGGAAGCCCATTCACCTTCAGCTGCAGGGTTGAAGGCTCCCCCAAACCAACCGTGAGTCATGAATATAAACTGTTTCTGAAAATGACCCAGGCCTTAGACAGTTTTGATGTGGTATAGTCTACCAGCAATTCAGTACACAAATGTACATCTGCTACATCCTTAACCCTAAACCTTGTCATGCAGCATTTTTGTACTCTAAGTTTTGAGAGCTAACCCCTAAATGTCCACAAATGATAATTTTGAATGGGTATCATAGTGAACGCCTTTCAGGCAAAACATTTTTATGGGGGAGGGTTAGTTGTGGTGTCTTCTAAAGTAACATTCTTTTGTGTGTATCTTCATGCCGGGGGTAAGTCTCCAATGGAACGACGTATATTAGTTCGTGCACATTGTGTCATTACCATTTGATTCAAATTTGGGGGAAGATTGAATAAAATTTCTGTTGCTGAAGTGAGAAACTACCATGGATTGCTTTTGGCAAATCTATATTTGTTTACGCTTTCATTGCTACACCCATCAATCAACACTTGTAGATTTCATAGTAAAGCATTCCGAGCCCTTATCACTACATTCCATGTAGCCATTACAAATGGAAAGACGGTATGAAGTCTTGTACAGCTTGGAATCTATCCAAGTTTATGCCAGTCGAAATGCATGCCTCTCTTTCTCTCCCAACAGATTCAGTGGTTCAAGAACGGCCAGCCAGTGGTTCGTTCCAACCGTGTGGACGTCAAATCCACCGAGGGCTTCTGCTCGCTCCGCATTGAGATGGTCCTCCCAGAAGACAAGGGTGCTTACACTGTCTTTGCAGCCAACCCCAAGGGGCGGGCGGTCAACACAGGGCGGCTGTATGTGGATCGTGTAGATGAGAATGACATGCCCCAACACATGAAGGGTGTGCTAGCTCACCGAGTCAGAGAGTAAGTCAACATGGATTATTCTCAATTCTTTGATTCACTTTAACCATTCCATTTTTTACCAATATTTGAGACTTTTATTGCTTGGTTTTTATGGATGTAACAGCAATGATAAAGACAGGAAAATTGTATTTTGCGTGTTCAGGTTATAATTGTATCAGGAGTGATGCTGTTCTAGTAGTGATGTGAACTTGGCTACAAATTTAAAATTGCCAGTTTTTGTACTAGGCTTCATGTCAGTTTTGGTACTTTATGAAATGACACGGACAATTTGAGTTGTCTGTACCGTAAATATATGTAGAAGATGATGATTGATTGATTTATCAAGTTGTCAACTAAAATTTCCATATCTTGTGGAATCTACTGTGAAGTTTTGGAGGATTTTGCATGATTAAGAAAAACAAATTCTAGCTTCTGTTAATTGGTGTTTGATGTCCCCTAGAAGTTAAACAGCAGAGAATGTGCCACTGGTTTCATGCAGTGGCAGATTTTGGAGGAATCAGGGAACCTAGCAAGGGTTAATGTACTTGTTAATGTGGAAGTTACCAATATCTGTTGCCAGGGAGACCCAAGAATACCACATCCCAGAGCGCGGTGCTCCGGACAGCGAGGTGAATGAGCGGCACTACAAACCCAGCATCAAGGAGATCCCCAGTGACTTGATAGTCAAGGAGGGTCAGATTGCTCGCTTCAACTGCCGGGTCAAGGGTAGACCACCTCCTGACCTAGTCTGGTACAGAGATGGCCAACGGGTCTACAGTGATCCTAACCACAGGGTATGTAGATTTGGCCATTGCCAGCATTAAATATGCATTTTTATGAACAAATATTAAAGCACATTTTTAAGGAGCTGTTACCTGACTTTAATATGCAAAGTATGTGTTAATTGAATCATCATTCCCTTGCAGATGTTGGTCAATGAGGGCGGTGTGCACTCGCTTCTCATTACCCATGCCAAGCCGGAGGACAGTGGCCAGTATCGATGTGTGGCATCAAACAGAGCAGGGGAATCTGAGTTCACTGTCGGTCTCTCCGTTGAAGGTAAACTTTCCAAGGAAAAAAGCAATCAGTTATAAATAATTGAAATGATTTAGAATGAATTATTTTTTTAATACGAAGAGATCTCTTCTTGTGTGTAAAATTTGGAATTTTGTTTCCACAGCCAAGCAGCATCTGGTCGCACCATCGTTCATCGACAGGATTGAGAATGAGACAGTGATGGAGGGTGAACCCATCACACTGAATTGTAAGGTCAGTGGAGCCCCTATGCCTCAGGTCAACTGGCAGAAAGATGGACATCACATCACCAGGGGCTCCAACAGATACAGGTCAGTGGGCATGCAGTCTTGACGTTCTGTTTTACCAAACATGGGACCCTACATCGCTGCACATAGTTGCAGAGTACATCTCCAACTGTGCCATATATTTCCGTGGTAATCTTTGAGGTTGTACATGTGATAAAGTATACCTTTTGTCTTGGTATAACATGTCATAGTTGCTTGTATTGTTTGAGATATTTTCTGTGCCTTGGAAGAACTTCACACAGTGCTCAGTGAACAAATTCCTATCCCCTTGAAAATCAGTCCTGAACCAGTACTGTTCTATCTCAATTGTCATGTACTTGGCAGCTTCAGAATGGCTTTTTTCTTTCTTATTCAAATGCTTCTTAGACAAAAGCTAACCAATACAACTGCCTACAGAATCAATAGCATTTCTGTATGTATCTCATGGTATATTCACAGAATTGAGATGCTGCAAGGAGTATGCAGTTTCTCCATTGACAAGACAAGTCGTGAAGACAGCGGATGGTACACATGCACAGCATTCAACTCTGCTGGCCGTGTCTCCTGCAGGTGTAAAGTCCAAGTCACATGTAAGTAAATCCATGACGAGTAGTTGACCCTCTGCTCAATATTTATCCACTGGCATAAGTCCCCTTAGTGTTACCATCCCTAAAATCTAATGAAAAAGAGAATACAAATCTCATTAGTTTGTCATGTTGTGCTTCTGTTGTAGATCAACCACCTATTGGACGGGTTCCTGGGACAGCGCCACCCTTGGTGAAAAAGAAGGCTCCAACACAGTATGGGAATTTTTCACATTTTATATTGCTCCCTCACCATTGTGCTGTTAAAAATAATTCAGTGGACCGCTTAAGCTGAATTGTGGCTAAACTCAGCTAAGGGAAAAATCAGATTCTTTGTTCACTTCTTGGGCAGTTAAATAGATTAAAAGAATTAACCCTGCAAAACTTTGTGCAATTGTTGGCCTGTATCTCACAAACCTTACTCAAACTCATGTTCCATTGGTAATTTCTTGGAAATTCAAAAATGCTGAATTGATTACTGTTGTCTTATGTCAAGGTTATGTTGATCGGTTCATGTTGTTCCCTATCATTCGTTAATGCAGTTTCATTGCTTTTCAAAATGCTACCCTTCTGTTCATTTCTAAGTTTTCTTTTTAGGTACATGCATATTCTTTCGTTTGTTACCATTGTGCTTTATTTCTATATCAATATATGTATCTCGATCTTAATTATGAAAGCATGAAAATAAGTATCATTCACCAATATTTCAATTTCTACAGAAATAACTATAAATTTTCTACTAATTTTACCATTTCCAGGCAAAGCAGACCACCTGCAGAACCTCGCTCCTCAGGGTCCATCTTCACTCGACCAGATCAGTTTTCGGATGATGAAGCGTTCCCCAAGACGCCTGAACCTCGCTTCACCATCCCCCTCAACGACGTGCACAAGAAGGAGGGTGAGAACGCTCGCTTTGCCTGCCGACTTGAGCCAGCTAACGATGAGACCATGAGGGTGGAATGGCTGAAGAACGGCATGCCACTCTTTGCTGGTAAGATGAAGCTGGAGAATACCAAATGCAGCTAGTCATATTTAAAAAGTCACATATTGGATAGCTTGACTTTGTTTCCTGCTTATAACGTGAAGTAAGATATTTCAGTTAACAATTTTCTCATGTAGGTTGCTGCTACGTGTTTAGTATGTTTCACATGTTCATTTCAGGTTGGTGTATCAAAATACTTGTATTTAGTTGAGTATGGCAAACTCTTGGTGTCACAAAGTCTACATAAAAGATACGGAAAAAGGAGATGGTAATGAGCCAATGGAATGAAGTCATTTTTCACGATTCAAAGTCTTTCTCATCTGTTTTTTTTTTTCAGCCTTCTCCCACATGTCCATTTTTGCATGTCACTCTCAGTTTCTACCTGTTCTCGGTTTGTTAAGCAGACATTGTCTCTCGTGCTCGCTCTATTCAGGCTCTAGGATCAAGACAAGCTGCGAGTTTGGCCTCTGTCATTTGGAGATTCAAGGCATCTACCCAGAGGATGCTGGGATCATCACTTGCCGAGCTGCCAATGCTAGTGGACACACTGAGACCTCCGGAAGGCTCTCGTGTCAAAGTAAGCCAATGACTTTGTCGTAACACGTTGACTTAACTAGGAAAATGGCCATTTTGGGTTATGACTCACATAACAAATACATTGGTCTATTCAGCTGACCAGGTTATTATTTTGCATTCATTAAGTACCAACTGCCTTGGAAATGAATACCAGCTTAGAAACAGGTGACTTTGCATTATATTCTCTTATGCAGAGAACAGTAATTTTTTCCCCCATAAAGGTGCCTAGCCATGTTACATTTAGGAAGATCCAAATCTATTTCAGTATTGTAAGACATTTAAATCTCCCAAGTATCTCTAGTGTGTGTGATGCTATATAAATAAAAATCAAGTTTACTCATTGTTTATACTTCCTTTGTGTTATATATATTTGTGTTATATATCTGCAGCCAAGGGGTCAGTCATTTCTGACAGTCAGCTGCCTGCAGATATGCAAGGAATACAAAAGACTCTCAAGTATGAGGAGTACCTCCGGGGGTAAGTGACAAGGATCTCTTGAGGCTTTAGTCCCACATCCTGCTTAAGTCAATGCTTTATTTTCATCTTGAATAGAGGTACCAATCTAAGATGTTGATTAAGTGCAACTCTTTTGTAATCTGGTATTCTTAAAATGATTGGTAGGTTGCAGACTGGCAGAGCACTGAAACACCTGCATCGATATTCATGCACCAGAAAGGAATAATGTTGGAGAGTCATCAATTGTATTAATATCTTGCATTCTGAAACAGCTTCTTTTTGGAGGGTTGATTAATTCCTACCTTGAATTATAATTCCAATGAAGAACAAAATTGGAAATTTGGAGAATGACAGTGTGTGAAACTGGCAAAGTATGCCAAATGTGCTAATATCCCGAAGGTCATTGGTATGGCACTCTGCACACTGAAGTATTGAGTCCTCTTCTCTAGTTTAGTACCATTGGGCATGTTTTAACATTTTAGGTTTCTGTGTATGATTGCTTCAAGGTACATTTTAATTTTTGTATTTATCGGAAAAGTCGCACATAATTATACTTGAGACTCATTCTTAGCTTAATCCCCTTGGTTAAAATTTGTATCTTGAAGATCTGACGATGGCCTGGCCAGGGAAAAACCTCTTGCTCAGTCATACGATGAAGAGCGGGCCCCTCCGCCCAACTTTGTCATCTCCCCACGAGACGTCAAGAAGCATGAGGGGAAAGACGCTCGCTTTGCCTGCAAGATTGAGCCGACTGGCGATGGTACCATGCAAGTTGAATGGCTGCGGAACGGAAGGCCACTGTTCACCAGTAAGACTGTCATTTCTGTTCACGAAGGCGATGCAAACTCTGAATCTTTTGACTGGTATCTTGTATTCAAGCTTCAAAACCTATAGAATGGGAGGAGCCTACCAAAGCAGACCTGGCCCATAGTGGGATACATCACACATCCAGTTGGAAGACCTTTCACAAGACCAGTCATAAGTAAAAGGGTTAACAGTGGCATAGGTCACATTTATCTGAGTAGCTTAAGACGTGGCTTGTGACTTGATGACTTTCACTGATTTGTGATTGACGCATCTTTATCCCTACCTCTACTCTCAAGACAACCAGTTTATTCCTTAAAACTGTATTGTAATGTACACATTGATATAAATTGTTTGCAGGCTCAAGAATCAAAACAACCTTTGAGTTTGGCATCGCCAGCCTGGACATCAAGGGTGTGTATGCTGAAGATGCTGGGGTCATCACTTGCTGTGCTTCCAACGAGAGCGGAAAGAACGAAGTCTCTTGCAAGCTCATTGTCCACTGTAAGTTACTTCTTAATATATGCTTTACTCTCACCTGTTTGGTCATTGTGTTCACATGTTGTGCGTTTGGTGTTCATGTAGTAGTCATATGATACTTTGATGCATATTCATCACTAAGTAGAATCAAATTGGTTTACAGCCAAAGACAGCCTGATCATGGAAAGCCAACTTCCAGACAGCATGAGACAGGGTATTGAGAAGACTCTGGAATATGACCGATCCATCAGTGATGAGTAAGTAGGATGTTAAGAAGCCAAGTATCTATCTTAAAACACAGGGTTGCCATTCTCAAGAAAACATAGTGTGTCCAGTGATTACACAAAAAGACAGTTTTGATCAGTAAAAAAAAATCACATCGCTCTTAATTCCCTGAAACTGGTTGTATGGGAAAACAGTGGAAATTTTATGACAATCTGAAGAGCGCTAAAACAGTTTCTGAGTTTAATGTGGGTTGTGTTGTGATAATGCTGACATGAAACTGTGTTGCATTATTGCATTGTCCAGTGGTATTGTGAAGGAGGGCCAGCCATCCAGACCAGACACAGGTGTCTATCACGAGGCAGGCAGGGCACCAGCCCCACGCATTTTGGTCCCTGTCAGCAGCCTGCAGAGATCCGAAGGACAAAGTGCTCACTTTGCTTGCCGGATTGAACCTGCTAACGATGCCACTACCAAGGTGGAATGGTCCAAAGACGGCCAACCACTTGTCACTGGTAAGAGCAAACCTTTGCCATCGCAATCCTCATTACCACCAATCTACTAATTTTTTTACTTCAAAAGAGTGGAATTTCAAAAAGTACTTGGGAATGTTTCTGAAGGTTTTCTCAAGCTGATTTTTATATTTTTTTTAACAGGCTCTCGCATCAAGAGTGTGTTTGAGTTTGGAATTGCTAGCTTGAACTTCAAAGATGTCACGGCAGAAGACTCGGGAACAATTACTTGCACTGTCACCAATGAAAGCGGAACGGCAGAATCCTCTGCAAAACTGGTTTGCCGAGGTAAGCTTTTCAAATTTGAGAGAATTTGGGGTTCGACCAGACATTTCAGATTTCCACTGGTTATCGATAACACTGGAGAGGTATATCTGAGTAAAGGTTTTCATTGAATATTTTGGGTCCATCAATTGGCTTTGAAATGGCCTGTCTTTATGGCTGTTGTTGATCTCAGCTCTGCTTTGTTAACCACTTACTGCCTAGTGCTTTTAAAAATGCAGTGCACACATACGGGAGATTTTCAAGACTTTGAGTTTTCAAATTTCTTTTAAAAATTCATCATTTCATTTAATGGACGTTTACACCCACACGAATGACTGTTTGGTGGCTACTCTAAGCTGATAGGTAGTCTTCCTTGACTCCTGAGTATTTCTGCCAGGCTTGCCACCCTGTAAAGAGAGCCCATGGTGCTCGAAACGGGGTTCGTCGGCAGCAAGTGGTTAAAGTTAATTTTCTTATCCACTCGTAGTCAACCGTTATGTATGACCACAAAGTTTTTGTCTTGAAATTTTCAAATGTCCATTTTTTCAATAAGTGAAATATTCTGATGAAAGTTTCACATTTGTCCGTTATTTTGTCTGTGCACTGATGATTACAATAAATACATTTTTTCCAGCTCAAGGAAGCTTAATCACCAAGAGCCAACTTCCTGAGGAGATGCGGGCCGGCATTGAGAAGACTCTGGAACAAGAGAGATCTCTCAGTGAAGAGTAAGTCCTTGTTGTGAAAACTTATGTCTTCAAACACCTTTCTTTTACCCTGTTGATGGGATTTGGCTCAGTACACTTTTTTACAATTAGAGTAGCCACCAGAGAGTCATTTGTGTGGGTGTAAACATCTACTAAATGAAGTTATGAATTTTTAAAGAATTTTGAAAGCAGAAAAAAAAGAAAAGTCTCCAGCCCAGCAGAATCAACATGGATAAATGGACCCGGCAGGAAGTGGTTAACAGATAAGACATTTGAACTGTAAACCCCTCCACATCCCTCAGTGAACACTGGGGAGTTTGGGCAGCTTTTTAGCAGGATTTAGAAATGACCCATTAGTTTCCTGCACTCTGGAGGATTTTCGGAGGATTAAAGAAATTTGCTAACAATGCCAATGGAGTTAGGGCCTTAAAGTATTGTTTAATATCTGTGAAAGCACACCATTAGTTTTTTATTCTAACCCTCATGGGTACTTGGCCAGAAACCGCGCCAGACATATCAGTCTGCATCATTTGTCCAAGTGGCTTGCCTGCAGAGTTTTACAAGAGTCAACAGATCAACTCTCCCCAAGGTCAAACAGTCTGGGAGTCTGTGGTTGCCAGTCGCCACAAGATCCAGCAGTGGCATCGTTCAATGGGACTTGCTCCCATCGTCTCAACATGGCCAGTGTGTTCATCTGCTGTTGATTGCCCAGTGAATCAAAGTGCAGCAGACTTTTCTACCTGATACACTGTGCTGCATCTGGCAGGGTTAGGGTTAAGGGTTAAAGTGGGGAAACTAACACTGCAAGGAGCACTGCAAAGAAAAAAAAGACAGAAGGAAGTTGCGAAGGCAGACTTCGATTTTGATGAATCTTTATGGGGGGTTATATTTTAATCACTTTCCCCGCTTTGCTTACGAGCAGCAGTGGTCACTTCCAGCCAGCCAGGATTTACACCGAGCCCAAAGCGCCCCCTCCCAAGTTTGTCGTCCCCTTGAACAGCGTCACAAAGAAGGAGGGAGAGACGGCTCACTTTGCTTGCAAACTGGAACCAGCGAGTGATAGCACCATGAAGGTGGAGTGGTTGCAGAACAACCGACCAGTCATCACTGGTGAGACTTCCTTTAAACTCTCCCTCTCCCCTGATACTGAAGCACTTCAAATTCAGCTTGAACTCAATTCCATTAAACTCAGAAGCTGAAGGCTCCCTTGTATCTCACAGTATCCGCCTTGAGCAGAAGCACCCTCTCATTGGTTGAGAGAGCCACTGGATAGTAGGAAGTGTTCATTTTGTTGGTAGCGTTGCGACTCAGATGCGTGCATTTTTATAGTTGTTTTGTGAACCAGTGAAGGGTAGTTCCCAACAAGGAGCCTCTGTCGCTAGGAAAATTGTGCCCTTTCTTGGCCTTGCTCACAGCAGATTACACAAATGGAGAAAATTTTCAGAATCTTTTTTAAAGGGTGATGTGTTCATAAAAATGGGATATTTTTCATCAGATCAGCTGATTCTCTTGTTCCATACATCCTACATATTCCAATCCACATTGAAAACATTTTTAATACCAAAATGTGTGAAACTTTGAATTTTGTCATATGTTTAACTGGCTTGTTTCATTCCACGTAAATTGAAGTTTTTTTATGGAAGGATATTGGCAAACACAGTGAGGGTGTTTTAGGTAAATGCAAAACTGATGCATGTATGGGATTACGTCATCAAGTCCCCTCTCGTCTGTATAGGGCCTAGATTGCAAACGATTTTTGGTTTGTCTTGGGTTTTCAGGATCAAGGATCAAAACAAAGCATGAATTCGGCCTGTGCTCATTAAACATGAAGGGTATCTACCCTGAGGACTCCGGAACTATAGTGTGTATTGCTCAGAATGAGAGCGGAAGAGCTGAAACAAGTGGACAGCTTGTCTGCAGAGGTAAGTGGAACTGGCTTGGGGACAGTTACTGTAGTGTGTACAGGTTGTTGATTAAGGTGTTGACTTTGTAAGAAACAACACTGAAGCATTCAATGAAACCATCAATGTATTTCTACTAGCTTTGTCTGTCATGTACATCCTGGCTGCTCTAACTCCAAGGGGTCGTCATGTCCCACTTTTGAAGCAAAAATGTATTTATAGTTTACTGCATTGTTACATTTTTGAAGCTTTATTGTCAAAGTGCTGTGTTAGTAAGGGTCAGGGAAAACAATTGATGGTGTTTTTATGAATTGACTTAATAGCCCAGCAAGCTCTGATTCTTGACACCCAACTGCCTGAGGAGATGCGAGGAATTGAGAAGACACTGGAATACGAGGAGTACCTCAAGACAGAGTAAGTTGACGAATAACTGGGTAATGAAAAAACACAGGGATTGAGAAACTTTGAGGATTACTAAAACCATCAGCATGATGCTTTTGTTGTCTGGGGTCTTCGTTTCATACTTCTTGATGTAAGGATGCACTTGTTCAACATGGGTTGTGCTCCATTTGGTGACAGTTTGAAGATGGCATTCCCTGAGATGCAGTGGGCTTTACTTTGAAAAGGAAAGTTCAAGAAAGGTAGGAAGAATCGCATTTCATGTCAATCCCAAATTCCTAAGGCTTGAATAACCAGTATTCCGTAACCCTTATGATCTTGTCATCTTTCAGGGGTAGGCAGCACACTGGTGGAATGGAGCAAGTTGATGCCCCATCACCACCTCAGTTTGTCACCCTCCCAGAACCCTGTGAGGTCATAGAGGGTGAACCGGCCCGGTTCACAGTCAGGCTCACCGGCAATCCGGTGCCAAGGGTCATCTGGTACAAGGATAACATCATGCAAGCAGATGTGAGTTCTTTATATTCTGTCATTTTTGTCCCTCTGATAATGTTCGAGGGGTATGTTTTAATAAAGTTTATAAATTGACAGATATCTTTAAGGAAGTTTCAAGCCTGTCTTCAGTAAAAACTGCTTTTTAATATCAAGGACAGAAAAGTTAAATTTTTTTGCGTTCTTGCATCTGATGCTCAGTGTGATGGAGAAGAATATAATACTTGATTCATCAAAATATTTCCGGATTTGTTGAATGCCTGTCAGGGGAACTTGAAGAGGCATACTGTTTCTGTTTTCTGTTTTCTAATTTCTGTAAGTTGAAAGTAACAAGTCGGTTTTTGTGTAGAAAGCTTATGGTTTTCCAAGTGCTTCTTTGATGAAAGGACGTAGGGAGATAAACTGACCAGTGAAGTGTACTATTTGAATGCAGGGTTCCCGTATGAAGATCTGGTTTGATGGCCTGCATTATCTGGACATCCCAAAGACCAGGCCAACAGACAGCGGCATCTACAAGGTGGTAGGCAGGAACAAGTTTGGCATGATCTCCCATGAGACCCGACTCCATGTCTTCAGGAAGACGGACCAAGGGGTACAGCTCAAACGCACCGGCATGGGTAAGAGGCAGGGATGAAATGAAAACAACACCGTTGAACGGTTTCTTAATGTTGGATGGACAAACATTTTAAGTGCATTTCTCTAGTCCTTAAATTTCACCACTTCTTTCTGGCAGTGGTCTTTGTCAGCTGTATACTAGGAACAATTTTAAAAATCAAAACCACATAATGCACTTAAAACGTTTATGTGCTAAGTACTCAAATTGTTATAAACTTAATCGTTTTGTTAAAACTACATACTGGTATTTATGTTGAGGCAAATATTCTTAGTAGCTCATGGTGAACAGGCAACTGGACTTAGGCATCATGATGTAATAAGAATGGTTTTTGCATCTGACAGATTCCTAGTATGTGATGTGTCCTGCATAAACGTAGCTAATGCCTGATAAATGATCTTGCATGAAATTCCCTGCTATAACACCAGATCGCAAGACCGTGCGCCCTCCTTAGATTTGTCCGTATCCCTGCTGACATGCAGCCTTTTTTGTCTGCTATGTTCCTATATGAAGAGTTCAAATCTGGCGTAGTGGTGAAACCAGAACTAAAACATGAAGAGATGTCTCCCGAACTTCAGCAAGCACTCCAAGCCAGAAAGGGACATAAGCCCGTATCAGTGATGCCTAAACAAGACAAAAGTAGGTCCTAATTCCCTTAAGATTGTGATTTCCTTACCAAAATATCATTTGAGGGGCAGAGACTTCGCTTCCACACTATTTACTGTTAGTCTTATCCTTTACAGTTAAAAACTGTTCCATCAGTTTCTGATCAAATCTTATTTTGTTGATGCCAGTTCACCTCTGAAACCCGTTTGTTGGTGCATGTACTGTAGTATGAATGGCAGGTTTTGCATTTTGGACCAATTTGTTATGCAATTGCTATAACATACCTGATAGTAACAAGTTCATTTTTTGCATGCCCCAGTTGTTGTTTATTCACTAATTATTTTGTTTTTTCGTAATACAATTTTTATTTTTGGTAGCCGAGGAACAGAAGCCCATGAGTGAGCTTGAGAAACGTTTTGCAAAAATGCATGAAGAAAACAAATCAAAAGAACCTCTCAAGCCTAAACCTAAAGCCCCCCCTCCAGTCGCCTCGAAACCATCCAAGCCAACTCCTGCTGCATCTATGGAATCTCCCATTGCAAAAGACCAGAAAGCTCGCATTCATACTGACAGGGCAGAAGTCTTCCTGATGAAGATCAAGCTTGTTGAAGATGTTGCCAAGCCTGAGCAAATTAATAAGGACCTTGCTGCTGCTCCATTGTCTTTTGACAGTACCTTGCCCTTCAGCTCAGAATCAGAAGATGAAAAGGAGGCTTTGGTTGATGAGGTTGTGAATACAGAGAAAGAGACAGGCCCTGAGCCAGTAAAATTGGAAGTTCTTGCTTACCAGCCACATCAGAAAAGCAGTTCAGAGATGTCAAGCAGTGATGAAATAGATCGTCAGTATGAAGCAAACATTACTTTCCACCCAGCAGAAACAGCCAAGGAGGGTTCATCAGGGTCCTCAAGTGATTCTGATTTTGACCATATCTATGAGAAAGCCGTGATACAGAAGGACGCACATGCAAAACCCATCCAGACAAAGATTGAAGATCTCTTCCAGCCATCTGACGAAGAGGAAGGTAAAGATGGTACCAGAGAGGGCAGTCCACCAGGTTCTTCCTCGGAAGCAGATTATTACGAAGAGCTTCACTCGGAACCAAAGAAGAAACGATCACCCTCAGCAACTTCTTCAGATGGCTACCTGACACCAGAAGATGCCAAAGCTGAAAACAAAGATAATGGAGAATACCTGACCCCAGACTCTGCTAGAAAACATGGGAGGGAATATGGGCGATCTGAAGGATCCAGCTCATTAAGATCAAGTGATGAGGAAGAGGAGGAATCTGAGGATGAGCCAGAAGTCAGAGCCATCAATCGAGATCTGTCTCGTCGCTCGGGAAAACCCATGCCTCCAAAGATCATTGTCCCGCTTGATGACTTCACTTGTAAAGAGAGCAATGATGTCTTCTTCGAGGTGGAATTTGTCGCCTCACCGAAGCCAGAAGTGCAGTGGTACTTGGACGGTGCCCTCATTCACCATTCGGAAGAGTTTGAGGTTCTTGTCGACAACACCTGCAGCTCCTTGTTTATCCCTGAGGCTTTGCCCGACGACTCAGGGATGATCAAAGTGATGATTAAAAACAGCGAGGGAGAAGCCACTTGCTCTGCATGTCTAACTGTTGAAGGTAGTGTTTGTGATTTTGAGATTGTGATCAAAGGTGGCTCGATTCCTAACACAGATTGCTGTCATCGCACTAACATTCTTCTCATCTGTCAATAAAAAACCTCACTTCGCTGAATCTTACTTGGTCCCACGGCAAGCAAGCTGTTAGATCATGTCATGCTGATTGAACAGGGTAAAAGCATTTCTTCCCGTCAAAATATTATCATGGAGTCGGCCATCTGTTACTCAGGATAGATTTTGCTGGGCATTTAGAATGGAGTTCGGGTTAATAGTCCTAGTTTGGCCTGCTGAATTCACAGCTTTTAAGGTTTATGCACCGCCATCTTCTGTTTTTCTTCTACAAGCACTTGAAGGCATCTTCTCAGTGTAGTTCACAAAAACTTTTCCTTCATTGCTTTGCAGTTGGTGTTTGAATGCATCATGGTTGGAGCTTGATCAGAAAATATCCATTTTCTTGCACTGGAACACAGTCATTTTTATAATAATTGAATGTTCACTCTGAAGAAAAGGACACACTTGTTTACTTCAGCAAGTGTGCACTCTTCCAATACTTTCTGAACCTCTTCTTGACTAACGAAATTCACCTTTTCCTGCAGAAACTAACAAAGTAGTTTTATTTCAGGGGTTTACATCACAGCATCTATCTCTGTCGCTTTCCTCTCCACATTACGGTGGCCTTTCCTTCCACTATGATCTTTTCTCTCCAACATTAACTCTTTTCTCTCACAGGGCGACTGTATTTGTAGTGCAGTAAAACATCAAAAATTAGCTAACAGTTTCCCTCAAACTTGTTTGCTCAGACAAACTTTGCGGTAATACTCATAAAGAACACGGATGACTCGATAGATGTTCCATGTTTTGCAAAGCACACTTCATGCCACATTTGTTCCAGCTTTATCATACTGTTACTCAAAGACAACAGTTGTAACTTCCCCTAGAATTTGGACCATATATCAGAAACATGCTGCACACAATGTAATTATTTTGGACCAACATATTTCTTCAAACCTAATATCTAATGGTTCACCTGTTGTCTTATGGTTTCACACTTTTTGTCATTCATTTCCTGGGCATATTTGTCATGTACACGTGCAGACATGCTGAAGTTTTAAAAGCTGACTAGTTAACATGTGCCAACGTTAATCCGGCTTCAGGTTCATTAAGCTTTTAAGGAGTGTTTTTTCATTATTATTCCTTTTGAGATGGTGTTGAATTGTTTGTTTTTACCACTGTTAATTGAACAGATGAGAAAGCTTATCAAATAATAATTCTTTTAAATCAAGAGTAACAGTTAAAATCAAGTTGTTGGGTTAATTAATTCCTGTTTTTTTTTTTTTTTTACTGTTTTCATGGAACCATTTTTCCTTCCTCCGCCAACCAGAATCACACACAAGCAAGTCCACTCAGGGTCAGGCTCCTGAGTTTGTGATGCCGCCTCAGAAGACGGTGGTTCCAGCTGGGGAGCCAGCGAGGTTCACTGTCAGGGTCGCCGGTTCACCCAAACCGCGTGTGGAATGGTTCAAGGTTAGTCGTCAACTAAAGACCCAGAAAACTTGTGAAACCACCTTGTTTCAGTGTTACAGTCAAGTCCATGACAAATGCATCTCAAGTTATCCAGTCTTAATCCAAGTCACAAGCTATTCAACCAAATTGTGACAAAAGCATTCCTGTGTCATTCTTCACCCTGTGGAAGAACTTGTGAAGGTACTTCTGTTGGACTTGTTTCTGAAAACTCAGAACTCTGTGACATTTTGATTTTTATTTTTTTTAATGTCTGTTTGTTATCCTCTTGTTTTGCGAATTTCAGGCTGGCCAGAGGCTCTCCACCAATCCTCGCTTCAAGATGCTGCAAGATGAAGATGTCAATACGCTGCTTCTCCTTGAGGCCCGGCCTGAGGACTCAGGAATGTATCGCTGTGAGGTCATCAACTCAGCCGGCTCAGTCAGTCACACTGCTCATCTGATTGTAGAACGTGAGTCCAGAAACCCAATTGCAGAATATAATACTACATTTGTACTGCAGCAGCTCTTTGATATAGGGGTTCAGGATTGTTCAGCTTGTCAAGATTTCGCAAAAGCTCCATTTTTCTTCAACACCAACCCTTCTTAATCCTTCAAAATTCACTACTGTTTGTTTGGAGGAATTTGGAGGAATGAAGAAGGTAGGATCCAACCAGTGAGTCTCTGGCACATTATAAAGAGCTGCATGTAATTGTGGCTTGGAAGTTGGACATGTTTCATTGGGTTCTTACACAGTAGCAGACTTTGGGTTGGAAGTGGACAGGATCTAAATACAAACACCTGTTATCTGTACATAACATGAAATATAATTGATATGTACCTTACAGGAGGTGAAGCACCTGGTCCTGGTATGCCAGGAGGGGGCGTAGCACCTGTTATCCAAACTCCCATCAGAGACATTGAGGTGGGAGAAGGAAGCCCAGTGGAGTTTGCTTGTCAAGTATCGGGAAATCCAGGTAATCATTTCAAGGTCTTCTGAATCTTCTAAAATCTTTGTTTCACAGATGGTGAAACAAGGTTTAACTCTTGTCAATTTCATGTGTGATTGGAACTTCAAGCTTGATCTTCCCTAAGCAAGTGGGGAACAGTCTTCATATTCACTGGGAGGGGTTTGCGGGCCCAAGACTGGCTTGTATTGTATCCACATGGTTGAGCTAACTGAGGTCTGCTCGTTGACTTAAAACATGCAAAGTTATATGCAATGTGACCAGTGGACTGACAACAGTGTGGTTTTGAGCTGCTACAAAAGATACCTGATTTTTCCTCTGCGCAGCTTCTCCCTTTGCTGTTTACTTCCCTTCTGTGACTTTTCAAATTGCCAAACACTCAAAATCCTTGTGGAGCTTGAGATTTTTTCATTATTCTGCCATTCCAGTTGTGTGCGTGTGCATGTGTACTTGAAATTGCCGTTTAGCACAAATAATGAAGTTGTGTAGCTGCTTCTTCATAGTGCTATTTTTTCCCCTGTTTTCCACAGCTCCATCCATCTCTTGGTATCTCAACAATGCTCTTATCAAGCCTTCCCGCTACTTCCACATGATCTACGAAGATGGCGTGGCTCGCCTTCAGATCAACGAAGTCTTCCCAGAGGATGCCGGTGTTTATACCTGCGAGGCGACCAATTCGGCTGGCTCCGTAGCTTGCAGTGCTAGGCTGACAGTAGCAGGTGAGTCTTCAGGGGAAGACTTGTAGAAGGAAACATGAGCTCCTCTAAAATGTCTGGATCACAACTGATAAGTAATCGGGCCAGAAGTAATTTGTCATTTTTATGCATAATTGGACTCCACAAGTTGGAGAATATCTCAAAAGTGTCTTACAGTAATTTTTTTTTCTACAACAGTAAGCTATAGGAATTTGTAAGGAAAGTTTTGTCTTCATTGCGCCATTTGGCACTTCTTTTGCATGTTGTAGTCTTGCTGTTTAGTGCTCAAATAATGATGTGAAAATGTGTTATGATGAAAACTAAACTTTGTTAATTATAAAAACTATTCAAAATTATGTAATTAGAATCACATTGTGCAGTAAGACCAGTAGGTAGGAATGATTTGAACTGAACAGATGTAGCAGATATTTACATGTAAAATCGAATCTTTAGCATTGCTAATTTGAAATTGAGTCATGGATTGAGCACTTTACAAGAGGTTAAAGATATTGCACACCGTCTTTTGGGAAAAATTGTACTGAAAGTTGTTTTGAAAAGATGATTGGATATGAAAGGCAATTGCTGTGAGACAAGCTTGACATTTAGGTATTTGTCATGTCTGACTCTTTGTCAATCCTAAAACACACACACACACGAAATTTTTCAAGCTTTCAATTTGTAGTGATAGTGCAAGTTTGATATTTTTAGCATAATGATGAAATCTCACTTTATATTTTTACTGAAAAACAAATGCATTTGAGTGGTATGTTTGACTCGTAGATTTCTGAACATTTTATATTGGCGAAAACAAGAGTGTTAGATAACTTTGTCAAGCTTGGCTCATTCGAAGGGATTGTTTGTCCTGTCTGTATTCATTGACTAAAGGGCGACAGTTCAACCTCACACTGCCAGGTATTGTGTAGCGCAGAGAAGAAAGTTACATTAGTTAGTTAGCATTGTGGTGCCGGGCAGTGTAAATCCTTCATTGGTGGAAGTTGTTTTTAACTGAGAAAAAGGAGATGCTGGCTGCATTCATTTTGAGTTTCCGTCTTTGGCTACGGATGGTCAGAGCAGTGTGTTGATGACATGTGCTGTAGCCATTGCCAAGAAGGCTTGATTGGGACTTGCTGGTCTTCCTATTAATTGGGAAGGCTGGATGGTGTTGAGCATTTGGCTAGCTTGGTGACTGTATTTTAATACATGTTCACGGCAGCGTTGGCGTGATTGGTGTCAGTGGCATTTTAATAGATGCTAAAAAATTAGGGCATCAAGACCAAACCCAAGATTAGTGATCCCATCCTACCACTCACTCTCCAAAGGCCAGGATCGATTACCAACCATTTGGTGACCTCTGATTGATTTCACTGGTATTAAAACAATGCAAAAACTATAGCCAGCTTACCAAGTGAAATTGACCAATAGTTGACAAATGGCTGCTAATTGAACATGGCCCAGGTTGTTAGTTCATACTTGTAATTAAGATTTATATTATGAATGACAAAAAGCCAACAGAGTATTCAAAAATGTCAAGTAGGCTTTATGACCTGGTTTTTGTAATTCTGAATAAGTTAACTGCCTAGATACAATCGTCGTTTGCTTTCAAATGAACTGCTACCTCAGAATGTTACCGACTTTACTGCTCTCTTCTGATAAGGTCTTAATTACTGATTAGTAACCCCCAGAGAATGACAGCTGTGCACTTAGCCAAATGTGTCTGTAGTTGTTATGCAACCTGTCAGTGTCATTGTCATGTCATTTATTCTCTTTATTGTTAAAAGTCTTTGCTTTAATGACTATTAGTTGTATCCAAAGTATCACCAGCCAAGCTGCATCTTAGTTCTCAGTATGCAAAATACATGTGTTTCAAACTTGCTGATAAATTTTTTGAATTATTTCAAATATTTAGTCATTTCATTACACAATTTCATTACCAAAGTCAACGGTGCTGTTTATTTCACGAGCATCGTGGAAACGGTGCAAGCAAATATACATTCAAGTGCTAAATTTGGTAAATCATTCTAGATATCTAAACTTGATTTTTAATTATGCAAAGCTGCTTTCATTGTCAGTGCACATGAATTCAATATCGTGCAAATAGAAACCTATGAAATTCAAACCTCCAAAATTTTACCCCAAAAGCACCAAAAATGTTTGAAGTGAGCATGTATGTGACTTTTACCTTTGAGTTTTCTAGTTTGAAGCGTGAAGCACACATAGAGTGAGGCAATATAAATTTTTCTAAAGCATGTAATCTTTTATGAGCAACAAACAAATATATGCACAGGATATTTAGCACTAAGTTTTATAAAGTTTTGCCGCAATATTTAAGGAACAGAAGGTTTCTTGCATAAGTTTTTTGGTCTGAAATGCATTTTCTTAGCCACTCCATTACTGAAGCTTGGTTGTAAAACAAATTTACTAGTTTCTCGAAAAGTCACCTTAAACTTTTTGACCAGCTTAGGGTATTCTTGCAAGGAAATCAAAGATTGTTTTAAGACAAACAGAGAGATTCTAGTTTATGAGAAAGTAGTTGTTAACTTTTTGGTTTTTTTGTTTGAAGGTGTGTGTTTGCAAAAAAATTGCCAAACTTTTTATGGTATGCTGTTTTAGAAGTGCAGTGTTTTCTGACAGGAAAATAGATTTTTGTGCTTAGATTCTTCAATTTCATTTTTTGTTTTGATTTGGAAATGTGCTTCCTTAGTCTTTCAGTTCTGAAATTTTTATTTAATGCAATAATTTTTCTTTTATGTGTATTGCAACCTAAATGATGGGATTTAAATTTTTGTCGAAAACAGGCTGATTCGAAAATGATGAGATTTATACCAATCTGTACCTTACTTCATTGTAGGAACAGTCCCATATAATCTTGCATCTCTCGGCTGGTGGTAGCCTGTCATTTAGATCATGAAATGTACAATGACTCAATTTGATGGAATACGTGTGGTTCTCAATTTGGAGACCTCAGATGTTGTAGCAACCAGGTGTTATCAATTTAACAAATGTATGTTCTTATTATGATTTGATTTTCCAAACTTACGTACAATTTGAGTATCACAGGATATTTCTTATGAATGAGAGCTTTCGATTTCGTAGCCAGAGAAAACCTAGTGGAAGGACAACTCATTGTCACCAAAGTAAAATCGATATACTGTGCTAATTTTCAACCAGCATGCTTTGTGTACCATTTTTAGGTTGTCAGGTCCTGTTGTCATGGTTGATTTTTAGTTACAACAAAAAGAAAATGTAGTGTTTCTTAAGATGTCATCTGGCGTTGTTTTTATTCTCCGTCAAAGCATGACCAAAGTTTGATAGTATCATTAAGTGTGAATTGATGCCCCGTAAGAGCGTTAATGGATCTAAAACCCTGGAATGGTTTACAGACAAGCTGTACAATAAAATGCTTCTAGAAGCAGTGGGTTTGCAACCATACACGCAGTCTCCAATCATACTCAATCAGCCTCCTACTTCGTATCTTGGTGTTGAAAAACAAGAATGCAATTTCAGACTGAAAGAAAAAGCTTAAAAACTATAAACTATGTTAATAATAAATCAATGCATCATTCACATTTTATTTTTACACCTTGATCTGCATCAAAAACATTTCTTGCAGAAAAACAAAATTATTTTGCAGTGTTGATATATCACAAGCTCAAAGAATCAGTATAAGGGAACTTGCATTCTGTGGTTTCAAAAGAGGCTGTAATGTGAACATATTGTACAATGCTATTTGGTTAATGAGGTGCAGGTGAATTAATTTAATGGAGGTAGATGAATAGTTGATGCAATCAGCTTATGTTCACAAAAGTCACTTCAGACATTTGCTTTAAATACCTGGTAGTTTTATAAATTCTAGTATTGTGATGTCATACCAATTGTCACTATTCTTCCCCCCCCCCAAAAAAAAAAAACTGTTTAAGAAGTGTACTGGAAATTTGTGAGAATTTTCTCTTGATTTTGAAACTCAATCCAGAACATCACTTCAAGAAAAACCGTTGTGCTGTTGATCATTGTGAAGAGCAAAACAATACGCTTTGAACAGGGTGACTCAGTGGATCATGGACATGTAGATATTTTGGGGTTCATTCATATACCTCTCGCGTCTGTTGTATAACAACAAACTAACTGCTGATTCCTTCATCCAGTCTTAAACATAACGGTACTCCATATTCATATTTTAACCATGTTCATGCACCGGGCACTTAGCATTGTATTGATATGTAGCAATCCAGCACTGCACAGCTTTTGCTTTAAAGGGACAGGCATGGCCGCACGTTTGCACAATTTCTTCAATTGAAGTGGGATGCATCCCTTGATCAGACCCTCTCTCAAGCTTTCATAGCTTCATAACCAATTTCCCTCTCTCCCCATTAAAAATCAAAACTTGAGCCAGCTAAATCTGGTATGAACCGGCTTGGACCAATTCTGACTTGTTGCATTGGCATGGCCAAAGATGCATGTGCCATTCCCAAAGGCTGATGCAATGTGCAGTTGCTTCCTAATACCACAAACCTATTAACTACAACTTCATGACAGGTAATCCATATCATGCATCACTTCTCTCCATCCCTGAGATTAAGGAAGTACATTGTGGTTGCAAACCCACTGAAATTTGTACTCTTAAGTAGTCTTTTCGACCAAATTCTGTACATTTAAAAACCAAAAAAGAAAATCTGTTTACTGTGAGTCCCGGCATCTCACTATTCTGTCTGTGTCCTACCTTTCAGTTGAAGAAATTCAATCGGCGGCTGTGCCCCCTAAGTTTGTTAAGAAGATCCAAAAGATCGAGGTCACCGAGGGTCACCCGGCCCGCTTTGACTGCAAGGTGACAGGCAGTCCCCGCCCGGAAATCAAATGGTACCACGAGGGCAAGGAGATCCAGAGCTCGCCCTACATGCGCATCACTGATGAACCGGACGGAACCAGCTCCCTGGTCATACAGGAGGTGTTTGCTGATGACTCAGGGCGCTTTAGTGTCAAGGCGTCCAACCCAGCTGGGGAGGTGACTTGTAGCACCTTGCTTGTTGTGGAAGGTAAGTCCATCTTTAAATGATACTGATGTTTTGAAAAGAGGAACCTCTGTACGGTGACAGCCTGATAAATGATAACTTGGTATTTGTAGGTGGCATGATAATGCCTGAATGATTGTGAAGAACGGCCTTATCCCCATCCCTGCCATTTGGGGTAGAGCTTGTGACTTGGCACATAAAGTTTATTTTAAGACATCACCTCCTATCATCCACTGTGGTTCCATTACAAGAACTGACGTACTATCCCTAGATTTTTAATGTGCCTTCTGGCCACCTTGGCTGAAATTATTGCAGCTTTTGGACACCCATATGGTTTGATTTGCCATAGATGCAAATGAGTAAATTCCAATCCGTGTATAAATCTCAGCTGCTAATCCCAGTACCACACTGAATGCATGATGTGTAACATGAGTATTGATGGATGTGACAAGTTTGACGCACTAAGATAGATATTGAGAGATAATAGGGAAGAGAACAAAGAAGATTCAAAGTAAGCAAAACTCTTGGATGAGACTGTGTTAAGTTATGTCTTGATCTCCATTGTAATTTGTTTCTTGTATTTGTTCATTGTAATCTGCAAAGGTTACAAGGTATGTTTTGTTGAAGTCAATAAAAAACGATGAAAGCGCCTGCACACCTGTCATGTCTTGTGAGCTGTGTGGTATGATGCTTGCCAAACTATTAATACAAACTGTTGGCTCCATGTGTGTTTTAATTTGTCCCAGTTTTTTATTCTGTTGATTTCAGTGTTGTTTTTTTTGCTCAGGCATGTTTTGAATGAAGACGAAGTGCTTTTTTTTTCTTATCCCACTGTTTTGTTTATGTGAAAAAACATTGAAAATAAACATGCCATTATTCATGATGTTTCACCTGTGTTTTTGTCCAACTGAATTGACCAAATGAAAATACGAATGGATTGGAGTCAAATGTGTGTTCCAATTTGTGTGTTGTCTCTAAATGCACACTGACAATTATAGACAGCAAAGCATGCGCAGTTGCCTGCCTGAAGTAGTTTGTACCTGCATGGTGTGAGACTCTACCCTGCCTCAGTCACATGTTGATATCCCCAATATTCAAAACTGCTAACTGCATCTGATTTCCTTCACCTGTTTTCAACCTCCTTCCAAAGGATAACAAGTGTGTAAGTATACATCTAGCTTGAAGTATTTTAGTTTCTACTAATATTTGTAATGTACACAGTTTGCACTCTTTATAACAGTATTATTTATCATGTTTGGTACGTGTAGCTTTGATCTGTTCGTTTGATCTGCACCTTAAGTTATCTCTCCCAGAATATTTACATTGGCACACAAAAAGGTTAAGAAATGCAGCTAGGGCAAATACTTCAAAAATGTCACAGTCACATTTGTATTCCTACATGTAGTTGATTGAGGTTATATGTGAGTTGAGAAAAGTGAACAAAATATTATGTAGAAAAAGAATTAACAGTGTAATAATCCCAATCAAAAATTTGAAGTACAAAGCAAATTAATGTGCAGTACTATGCATTTACAGCATGTAAGATTCCTCACTTCTAAAGAGACCCTCTCCAAATCTAAAAGTAACATATTTTTAAACACTTTAAATAATGTTTTGTTTGTTGCTGTTACTTCCCCTCACCTTAAAGTAATATTTAAATTTGGTCATTTTTTAAACGATTTTAGCAATACCTATGTGTATATGTTGGTTGGGTATTCACTCAGTTCCCCTAAAATTAACTTGCACGGAATTAGAAGAACATTTTGATCATAAGCTGTTAAAATCCACACTGTCGATACCTTCTGTGTAGTTTTATTTTACAATTATAACTGTTTTTATCTGTCAGGTATCTTGCATCAATGTTTATATTGGTAACTTGTTTTTTGTGTGATAGTATTTTTATTTTTTTTTTCAACACAGTAGCAAGAATATTGTTCAGCACACCTTGTTCAGAGTCTGTTCCTTTCAGCAACTTGATTCAAGTTTCTTCCTTGTACATTCCAGCTGGTGCCCCCGAAGGAGTATGCCCTCTGAGTTTCAGTGAATCATACGGGGGTGACGTCAGTGGTGCTTACAGCGCCGAGCAGGGCCTGGATACCTCTGAAGACACAGATGAGGACATTGATGAAATCCTTCCTTATGATGGGAAGGTGGCCTTCCCACTGTCTGTCAAGCGGGAAGTCAAGAAGCCTCAAGTCCACGCCGTCCCTGTCTTGCAGAGACCACCGGGTGAGGCAGAGAAGGCTCATCCTGAAGGGCAGGTACAGAGTGGGACGTCCACTCATGAATCTTCTCCATCACAGCCCTCTGAACCGTCACAGCCATCACAGCCACTGCAGGTAGCATCGGTATACCTTGTCTACTAATTTGATTTCCATAAGATTCTGTAGTCAATTTTGCTTGGAAACTCAATCCTCCAAGAATGACTTCTACGGATCCTAGAATGACTTCTACGTGTCCTAGAATGACTTCTACGGATCCAAGAACGACTTCTACGCATCCCACTCTTTGTACTTTACTCTTCTATACCAGTGAACTCTACTTGTTGAACAAACGTCAGGTGAATCTTTTATTTCAAGGTCTACTTTTTCATCTCTCTTTTTACTCATGGTAACAAAATGAGTCTTTAATACTGATCATAAGCTCCAAGATAATCACATCGGATATTAACCACTTCGGCCGGGGCATTTTTCAA